CACCAGAGTCAAGGATGCTGCCTTCTGATCGCGCCACGGTCTTTGGCGTGTAGCCAACCTTTCACCATGTCACGCGCCTCGGCTGGCTTTGCAGATTTCTTCCCCACCGCCCCATCAGTCCTTCAGCAGAAGCGCTTCAAAACAGCGCAGGAACGACGGAAATTACATGTCGAGGGTGAACAAATTTCTGAAAGGATCCTGGATTGTCCAGTGTCTCTCCCTTCAAGCACACCTGCGACCGGTGAGACGCCTCTCAAACCCGGTACAGACGAGGGGGGAGCTCGCACCCCATCGGCCCCCAACGAGCTTGGATTGACCATTTCCGCCAAGGCGAAAAGCGTGGAGGATAGGACTGGGCTACCTCCACCCACGGCAAATCCCATCCCATCACAAATTGATACACTGACACCGCTCACTAATGCGGAGTCATCACCCCCTTGCAAAGTAACCAGTCCATCACAGCAAAAGGTAGCAGGAGGTTCTCCGGGTACTTCTTCCAAGTCAAATCCGGAAATCTCCAAATCTGCCATTACACCAATCGACACCCCTCCGACCCCCCAGTCGCAAACTCGACACCTTGAGCTCCGTGTGAGAGGGTGCAAGGTTGTGTATGATCCCGATCTAGACAAGCGGACCTCGTCGAAGGAAAAACGGAAAAAGCTCGAATATGTGGACATCGTGAATGATGGCCAAACAGATGCGCCACCCGATCCGCGTCGTGCGATTGCCAATTATACCCGTGGATCCGGTTGTAAGCAGAAGACAAAATACCGCCCCGCGCCTTACAATCTAAGGCCATGGTCATACGATGTGGCAACGAGCATTGGCCCCGGACCTCCCATCCAGGTTGTGGTAACTGGGTTCGATCCTTTGACCCCGATCGCCCCGATCAGCGCACTTTTCTCGAGCTTTGGAGAGGTGGCCGAAATCAAAAACCGCACAGACCCTATCACCGGCCGGTTTCTGGGGATCTGCTCCATCAAATACAAAGATAGCACTTCAGCCCGGGGAAATGGCCCGGCATCGGCATCTAGCGCAGCGCGGCGTGCATACTTCGAATGCAAGAAAGAACAACGCATTGGTGCACGCAGGATTCGGGTTGAGCTGGACCGCGACGGGATTGTCTCAGATCGAATGGCCGCGAAAGCAGTCGAGTCTCAGCGATCTAAGAGTACCCTTCCACTTCCGCCCGCAAGTGAGCCGAGACCAGATATCCAGATCAAGAAAAGCGAACCACCACCAACTGCGCCCAAAGGTCCCTCGGGCAGGTCATCTCTACGGCCGGGGGTCGTTATCCCAGAAGGTCCTAGGGCCGGTGTCCGATCCCCTGTTGTACAATCATTGGTCGAAGAAACTCCTATCTTGAGTCAGATCAAACGCGATCCATACATTTTCATTGCGCACTGTTACGTCCCTGTTCTCAGCACAACGGTTCCCCACCTAAGGAAGAGACTCAGGCTCTTTGCATACAGACATATTCGTTGTGACAAAACCGGTTACTATATCATCTTCGAGAATTCGCGCCGGGGTGAGGAGGAAACCGAACGCTGCTACCGACTATGCCACATGCAACCCCTGTTTACCTATATCATGAACATGGAGAGCCAGCCCTACGGGAACCCGAACTACGAGCGAAGTCCCAGCCCCGAACGCCTCCGCACCGAACGACGAGACAAGGCCGAAAAGGATCGGACAAGGAAAGAAGCCGACTTGGATATCGAGGAAGAGAAAAAGCAGCGGGCGCTTGATTTGGATCCATGCCGAGAGGTATTGTCTATCATCATTCGCGACCTGAGGGACAAGCTTCTCGAGGACGTCAAGTCACGCATAGCTGCTCCGGCTCTTTACGACTATTTGGAACCGAGTAAGCATGCGGCCAAAAGGGAAAAGCTGGGTATTTCGGACCCTGAAGGTACAAAACGATCCGTTTTCCAAATTGACAGCATCCCTGGCTCTCGAGGTGAAATGTCTGCCGGGCGAGACCCTCTCAGATCTTCGGGCTTGAACGTCCTTGCTCTTCCTCGTATCCGGAAAGCCCATGGTCTTGATAATGCGGGTGCTGCCTTCCTCGACGAACGGCGCAGGCAGCCACTGCGAAAGAAGGAAGTCCGGCCCTTGTATCATCGCTTACAGCAGTTACACGATGATGAAGATTCAGACGACGAGCAGCGCACTCCTGCTGCTAAGGATGTCGACGAGCGAGAGAGCCGACCCCCCAGTCGCGCAAGTTCAGCGTCATCGGAGGATGGAGGATACCAGTCGGACGATGTGGGATCATTCCAAGGGGACGAAGAGCGCGGCGATCAAGTTGTGGATGATTTAGATGCCACACATGAAGCCGGCGATCTTTCTCATGAACTTGAGTTGTCTCCCACGTCGGGCAAGAGAAAGCGACTGATTGAAGATGATGAAGCACGAAAGCGGCAGCGACAGGAAGATGAGCTATTCGGCATTGACTCGGAAGAAGCCAGACATGAGGGTGCAACTAAGGACCTGGAAATCCCCGCGGTTGTTGGTGATGATCTCGCAGAAGATGCCCACAAATTACCAACGCGCGATCAGCCCGCGGACCAAGTCACCGAGCATGTCTCTCACAAACATCCCGAGGATGATGGCCTTTCGCTTAGCGAAACGTGGAAGGCCGAACCTGTTGATGAGCCGAAAACAGAGATTGATTGGGGCTTCTCCAAGGATGAGCCCCGCGCAACGGTGGAAGATGATGAAACTATCGTGCTTGATTTGGATGGTTGGCAACACCTGGTCAAGGACGATGAAGATCTACGATTTTTGCGAGAAGTCCTACGGGATCAGTCAGAATCAATTATTCGAAACCTTGCTGCATGGGGTTGGAAACAGAAGGAGATCAAGGCTCTTAATGGCTTGGAAACCGGCATGACCCAGGACGCTATCAGTATCCCTGGCTACTATGTGCAAAATACCACAGGAGCTGCGCGGACGGAAGGCCGAAAAAGGATTCTTGAGGCAGAAAAATCCAAATACTTGCCTCATCGGATCAAGGTTCAGAAAGCTCGCGAGGAGCGTGAGGCGAATGCTAAGGCAGACCCTCAGGCAGCAGCAGCAGAAGCTGCCAGAATTGCTGCCGCCAAAACAATATCAAAATCGACATCCCGGTCAACACGAGTCAACAACCGCCGGCTCATTGCAGACATCAATGCGCAAAAGCAGGCCCTTCCCACTGCGAGCGGCGAAGGAGACGTTCTTCGATTCAACCAGCTTAAGAAACGCAAGAAGCCTGTGCGCTTCGCTCGCTCTGCCATTCACAACTGGGGCTTGTATGCTGAGGAGAATATCACTGCCAATGACATGATCATTGAGTATGTCGGAGAGAAAGTGCGTCAACAGGTCGCCGATATGAGAGAAAGAAGATACCTGAAGAGCGGGATCGGTAGCAGTTATCTTTTCCGAATCGACGAGAACACCGTCATCGATGCGACAAAGAGAGGAGGAATTGCACGATTCATCAATCACAGCTGTACACCCAACTGCACTGCTAAGATCATCAAGGTCGATGGCAGTAAACGGATTGTGATTTATGCGCTCAGGGATATCGAAAGGGGTATGTGAACAGAGCTCGCTTCACGAAAACAACACACATGCTAATAAAATCTATCAGATGAGGAGCTAACGTACGACTACAAATTCGAGAGAGAATGGGACAGCGATGACCGCATCCCATGTCTCTGTGGCTCAACGGGGTGCAAAGGGTTCCTCAACTAAACCCACTTTCCGAGATCTATCTAGCGAACTCTTCGGGAGGCATATTGACTCCCATCTACCGGGTGGCGTTGAATCAGGCTGGCGTTTTCAGGGTGGGAGCATTGACGCATTTATCAATGGCAATCGTGATTTCATAAACTACAAACTCTCTTGTACAATATACCAATTCCAGAAGAATTCCGCCTTCCGTTTCGACTCATGGCCCTGGAGCAAAAGTCTTAGAAAGCAACGTGAGAGCGTAGATGTGTCAAATCCCAGAAGAACTCGACTCGGATATCTGATAACCTTAGTGCTACTGCACAGGGTCCTCTTTCGAAGAAAAGAAAAGGAAAGGAAGAGAGACTGGTTCTCAAAGACTCCTAGCCCTGGGGTATCGATTTGCGAAGCAATGGTGAGCGCATGTGGTTGTGTTCAGACTTGATAAAGATTAGCAAAATGAATACAGCCAAAAAGAATATATTTCTCACCAAGGTGGCTTGGAAGAAGGAAGTTCGCAATTCCTTCCTTAATCATATATGAATGACCGCAGTTCCCGCAGGTCAATTTCCCTTCTGTGACGTGCGTCTCAAGTAGCAACCGGTGCAAGTCCTTCAATGTCTGCTCGTTGTCGAGAGCCTCGTTCTCGGGTTTCGATTCCGGAAGACTGGGGAATCCAAGCTAGATCACGCAAGATGTTAGTTTGGAATTGATATCGGTGGACAACGGGTTTGAATTGGTGGTTGTTCATTACCTCGTTGGAGATGGTGCGCAGGGCTTGCCAGTCAATTCGGGGGAGGATGTTGCGGATGAATTCGGGCTGGAAATCAAGTTCCTGTTGCTCTAGCTCGGCATCGTGGAAATGTAATGGGAATGAGGCTGGTGATGTCTTGCATTCCTTAACGGCGCATGTCACGAAATTGGCGGTGATCACTTTCATTATGGCGGGGTTGGGGTGATTGTTGATAGGTTATCGATGGGGAGATTTTGGGAATGTTGCTCAGGTATGTAGAGATCGATCGGATCTAGATAGGAGATCAATTTAGAGGATAATGGATAATGTCGGTGGCCCCTCCGAAGGAGGAAAAAAATAAGAGCCCCACGGCTTATCGGATATCATGTGATCGATATGGATACCCCATACTAGCAGTTGATGAGCCCGACATTGTTGATTTACTCTAAATCTTATATATATTATCCTACAGAAATTTCCTAGATTCAAACCGGATGTTTTGATTAGTTTTGATTAGCCTTGATCAGCTATTATTCAGATCCGCCAAGGCGGATTATTTGATCTGGACATCCAGCAGATCTAGATCGTCAATGTCATTGTCGGCTAGACATGAATCGGGGTCGAGTTTGTCCCCATCGAATATGATAAAGATATCTTTATCCACAGGAATCTTTTGTTTATCCCGGAAAGCCGATATGAGTCGCGAGACTAGGGTTTTCTGTCTTGCTTTGATTCTGAAATCGTCGTGTCCAGGACTCCTCAGAGTAAGTTTTATTGGCTCACCCTGGTCAACTTCTGGAGACCGCGACTCAGTAGGGGGCTTGTCATTGTCAGGCGAGGTAATTGGTTGATTGACCGGAAGAGGTAAATCGGAAACGGCTACCATGTGTACGCGCAGCTCTTTTTGGTCTGCAGAGTCATCATCAATGCCAAGGAAGCCCCCAGAATTCTTGCCAGTGTTTATGCCTAGGCTCCTGCAAGTTGTTACGTCGAATAGACGTCGGCCCTTCCAGGTAAGGTAGATTGATGATTGTATATGCGGGTCGAAATTTTGGCGATCGCACCATGCCAACCGCACATCCCTTAGCCGCTGTGACATTTTTCGATGGACGAGTAATGGTTTGGTGTTTGAAATTTCAGAAGAGATGAGAATTTGGACAACAGGGTCATCTACTGGAACTTCGGGCGGTTGAACAGGCTGTGGAGGCGGAATAGGCCGAGGGCTTTGAATTTCCGAGTCATCCTCCAGAACAATCACTGGCCGGACAGGCAGCGCAGCTATAGGTTCCCGACCACTGGCTTTCTGTGGTGACTGGGGCACGCGGTTTTCTGGGCTGCGTATTTGGGTTGTCTCGCGTTGTTTGGCTGACTTAACCGACTCGGGCGAGAAATTATGAGAGGAACCAGAGGGATCCTGTGGCTCTGGTAGCGCAATAGTAACGCTATCAACCTCGGGTGTTACATCTCGCACTGGACTGCTATCATCGCGCCCTTTACCCTTCTCGTCAGAAAGCCGAGGCCGCTTCTTTCGTTTTGTGTCTTTTGTATCTTTTGCGTCTTTTGCGTCTTCAGTATCTTCGGTATCTTCTGGGATTCCCTGCGCTTTTGGCTGCTTCTGGTGCGCTTCACGGTTCGCAGCAATGATATCAGAGTACGTCTGTTCCGAGCGTCGATAAAAATCAGTGCCAGTTTCCCCCGTATTCTTGATCGCCCACGAGGGCTTTTTAAAAAAGCTCATGACGATGACCAGATTGGTTCTGGAGGTGGCTCAGGGGAAACCTTATTATAATCAGCGATATGTTAGTGGAAGAGCGAAAAGTGCGACATGAGGGCCCGGGAATGATCCAAACAATTGGGGGTTGAGGTGGAGGGAAGCTATCAATCTTTCTAGACTTGGAATAGGTATAGTGGAGCCTCATGGGACACCGTCCTGCATACCGCCTACTAAAACTGCACTAACGCACTTTCTGACAAATGGAATATTTAACAGTCCAGGACATCTCTCCTTTTGATTTCGTATTAATTGTTTGTAGATAGCCATTTCGAACCCAATGTCTATCAATATTTAACTATTTTAATACTTTGAAAGCGTTTTTGCAAAGCTAATAAAAAGGGTACTATAGTATGGCCGGCAATACCGGCAGAATATAATGGCGGTGTCATATCTCCTAAGAAAACTTATCAGCAGATCCCGCCCCGCTTGCGATAGTCCATCACCCTCACCGCCTTCCTCGTCTCTGACTTTCGAATGCTTCATCCCTCCGTCTACTTCAAAACACATCTCAACCTAGCATGTCTCCCCATTTTGCCCTTGAGCTTTGCTCTGACTAACATTTATAGATTCCAGACCATATCATCAATATGGAGAACGTGGCCCCAACCTCCGAAGGGAAAGATCCCTCTGTCTTTCTGAGTGAGATCATCGGTGCGCCTGTGATCGTGAAGCTGAATTCTGGAGTGGTATTCAAGGGTATGGAACCTTTCTCCAATATCCAGTGGTGTTGCTTCTAATGCGCCTATAGGTGAATTGCAATCAGTTGATGGCTACATGAACATCGCCCTTGAAAAGACCGAGGAATACGTGAACGGAAAACTACGTCGAAAGTACGGGGATGCTTTCGTGCGTGGAAACAATGGTTTGTCGATCCTTTCTTGTTTTCAAACCCTATGATTAGCGCGACATCTTTCTCACTAGAATCTACAGTACTCTACATCTCTTCCAGTTGATCCGAAAATACACTGTTCGATGTTAGCGATTGGGCCCACCTATGACAACCTGCAGGTGGATAAGAAAGATGCGCTGTGAGTGCCATCACAATGATTTGGGATCTTCTGGCTAGGAAGACAGAATACAAGTATAGGCGATGGTTGACCAACTCTTCTTATGATGCAGTTGATCAGACTTGCGAGCCCGAGGTTATGGAGGCTACGTACCTATGGGTTCCTGTTTTTCTTGCTTTGTACCGAGCCCAACATTGGTGTCTATGACCATGAGCTTATCCACTGTTGTCAGACGGCTTGGTAATGTTTTGCGGTGATGCGGCGATTTGCCATTGACCTTGTGTTTTAAATTGTGCCAAGTATATTCGCGCAGTAATACATAGGCATTTGACCCCGCTATGACTTGGTTAACTTCCATATATACGTTGGAGGTATGTTCCTGGGAAGGTTGTACCTTTTTTGTACTGGTATTGTAGGTACCCCTCGGGGGCATTGATTAAGTAATCTTTCCCAAGTGCCCAACTGAGCCCTGGAGGGGTCCCCCGCAGCACTTTTTTAAGGTTCTTTCCTCGCGCCTCCCTCTGCAGAAATTTTGACCATCACCTACGAAGATGTTGCAGGCAATCAAGTTCAGCAAGGGTAACCTTGAGATCCTGGATCAGTTACAGCTTCCATTTGTCGAAAAATACATTCCCATTCGGACTACGGAAGATGGATGGCACGCTATCAAAGATATGAAAGTTCGCGGGGCACCTGCTATTGCTATTGTAGCAATGCTTGCCCTCGCTGCCGAACTAACCTCTGCTGTGGATAGCAACAAGCTTTCACAATCATCAGAAGAGGTGTGCCAATATATCACAGAGAAGCTTGCTTATCTGGTGACGAGTAGGCCAACTGCCGTCAATCTCGCCGATGCTGCACGCAAGCTGGAGGCTTTAGTGATCAATCGGACGAAAGCATCGGGCTCTACTGGCCTCGACGTTGCCACCGCATTTATCCAGGGAGCAGAGGATATGATGGGAAAGGATCTCGAGGATAACAAGAGAATTGGACACAATGGCGCAGAATGGATCGCCACTCATGCGGCCAAGCCAGGGAATTCAGAAGTTGCTGTGTTGACTCACTGTAACACTGGGTAGGGCTGATCCACTGCGCTATCCGTTATACGTTGGATGTTCTCACTAACACTGAATCTCTAGCTCTCTCGCCACTTCTGGATATGGAACAGCATTGGGCGTGGTTCGCTCGCTTGCCTCGAAGAACATCCTACGCCACGCTTATTGCACAGAGACTAGACCCTACAACCAGGGATCTCGCCTTACAGCCTTCGAGTTGGTTCACGATAAAATTCCGGCTACACTCATCACGGATTCTATGGCAGCCGCTTTGCTCGCAGATACCAAAGTGGGCGTGAATGCGATTGTGGTGGGAGCGGACAGAGTTGCAGCCAATGGTGACACAGCCAACAAAATTGGCACATATGCCCTTGCTGTATTGGCAAAGTACCATGGTGTCAAGTTCCTCGTTGCAGCACCACTCACAACCATCGATATGGCCACAAAATCGGGCGAGGATATCGTCATTGAACAACGTGCAGCATCCGAGGTGACCAGCATTAAAGGTCCCTCCGGGGGGTCCGAGACCACCGACCAGATTACGATCGAGACCGTGCAGATTGCCGCGCCAGGGATCAATGTCTGGAACCCAGCATTTGATATTACTCCTGCGAGTTTGATAGATGGGATTATCACAGAGAACGGAGTTGTAGAGAAGGGTTCCGATGGCCAATATCACTTGGGTGGACTATTTGACGGTTCTACTTTGTGATCCTGATCCGAGCCCGGTTGATTCAAGTTTGTTCCATCAGCAGATGGAGCCTCTGCTGCAGTATTACTCTGCTTTTCGAAAGATGCCAAGAGTTCATCAACTTGGCTTTCGATTGCGCTGAGATGATTCTCTAGGGCCGAGGCTGTCATTTCACCCCTAAATATATGTCAATATCATGAAATTATGCATGTAAGCTATAGGAAGGCCCACGCACTTTGCAAGATCTGCCAGTACCTATATTATGAGTTAGAACTTGGATCAGCTTGTAGAGGGGGTTGCCTAGCAACATAGTTTAGGGAAATAGGTGCTGCTTGCGAGCGCTGAAATAGAGATGCTTACCTTCGCCATATCGAAATCTGGATCCGGTTTGGACATAATGAACGTTTAACAGTGTGCTGCCGAGTATAGTTGAAGACAAGAGGTTCCTTCGAAGACGGGCCCAGGTGACAAGCGGGATACCTCCGGGGCCATCGATACGATTAGTCATCCCGAACCCGAGATAGATTTCCCCGATAAGAAAAAGAGAAAAAAAACCTCTTCACTACTATCACCATACAAATTTCGTCATCATGGGAGTTCAGAAAAAGACTCGCAAGTATGCGCTGGCCAAGAGAGCCATTTCTATGCGCGACAATCGCCTGTTCGTCCCAATTACGCAACTCAGCCTTGTTGCGGCTTGCTAATGGTCGCTTATAGGAAGCAAAATCAAGAGAAGACAGAGAAAGGCAAAGAGAAGACAAAGAAGGATGACCTTGTGAGAGAGGCGTAAGTACACCATATAATAATATTCCAAGAATTACACTGACATGTTCACCTCTAGCCCCCAAGCTCCTTCGTCAATGTTCTTCCAGTTCAACACGGCCCTTGCCCCCCCATACAATGTGCTGGTCGATACCAATTTCATCTCCCACACCATCCAGCACAAACTCGAGGTCATTCCGACCATGCTCGATTGTTTATACGCCAAATGTATTCCTATCGTCACAGATTGTGTACTTGCCGAGTTGGAGAAGCTTGGCCCGAAATACCGACTTGCTCTACGTGTGGCCAAAGACCCTCGGTTCGAGCGAGTCAAGTGTGACCACAAGGGAACATATGCTGATGACTGCCTGGTTGACCGTGTCATCAAGCACCGTGTCTACATTGTCGCCACAAACGATCGTGATCTTAAGAGACGTATTCGGTATGTAAACCACATCTCGATAACATTGCCCTGTACCAGTCAAATTCTAATCTCCATAATAGCAAGATTCCTGGAGCACCCATCATGAGTGTCGCCCGTGGCAAATATGTGATTGAACGACTCCCTGATGCCCCCGAAAAATGAGCGACTTGAACGATCTATCGTTGTATTCGTCTGTCGCTATTGCGACCATCCACATGATACCCACAAAAATCTCCGTTTCTTTCTTTGCCGGAAAGTTGTAAAATAACATAAACAATTTTCGCCTCCAGACATCCGGCAACCAACTGCAACACGCAAGACCGCAAGAACAATTATGCTGTCAATCGACCGCATCCGATCAAACAAAATGACTGCACCGCGAACCAGCAGCATCGCTCCTCCCAGGGCTGGTTATAGTACTTTAAACCTATGTGCCAATGGAATGAATCATTTGAAGGACCCGGGGCTTCTCAGGCAAGGTTATGCAGTGATGCATCTATGTATTTTCCATCTATGGTGACTGCCAATGTCCTTGTAATCTACAAATACGAATGGATGTCAAATCCATAACTGATCAGAGTCTTTCCCCTGAGGGCTCGCGAGCTACGCGGTCTTCATTTATAAAGTACGTAGTGCCTTTATTGGCTTGCAATGTATACTCATATTTGTTAGCTATACGTTTCTATCAATTGACGAATCGCATGCCGGACAAGACGAGTGTTGGCAAAGCACTGGATCATTCTTTGTCGCGACATCATTATGTGTAGTGGAGGTATATCCGCGAGTAGTGAACTGGATTCAACCATGTCATCACCAGGAGCTGCGATCTCAAGGAGCTGCTTCAGTATTCGTAGAGAGTACAGTGCAGCTTGGATTTGAGCAAGAAGGTGAATGTCCGGCCATTTGGTGCTTTGCACCATATATCCCTTTGTAAGGAAGCTTTCCAGTTCCTTCGCACTTGGAACTGTCGTTGTGCCAGATCCATCACGGTAGATATCGGAAAGAGCAAATAAAAACCAGAAACTCTCCGCTGGCAGGCCACCGTCAAAGGTAGCATGCGCTGTGGCAAGACGTTTCCGGACGAGATCCATGTCAGAGGCCACGGTCTTTGCTCCGCTTAGAGTGATCTCCTCGGCCACGATCCTTCCACCTCTGCGGACAAATTCATGTACAGCAGCGAAACGATTGGCAACAGGACGCGAATTGTTGAAAAACGAGTACCCAAGGGATCTATATGTTCGACCTTGTTCCCAGGCACATCGTCTGGAAGAGTCTTCGTTCAGAATGCCGAGATAGACATGCGGCTGTTCATCCGAGCAGTAGATACCAGGAAGTTCATACTGCCAAAAAAGCTCTGAAACTCTGGGATCCAACGATTGTAAAGACTGCTTTGCTTCACGTATGACCTCATTATCTGCGGTCTCGTGTTGATATTCTCGAAGAAACTCCAGATACTCAGAGGAGAGCTCAGTCGCCTTACTGCTCTCCTTAGATATCCGGATAAGTTCAGCAAAACTTATGTGAACATTTCTTTGCAATTCGTAAGCAAACCACTGAACGCTCGGGATCCCCAACCGACCAGAGAGCGAATGAGGGCAGATTCTCAGTCCCCGAATATCAGGCTCGGCTGGTTCCCATATGCCCGAGGACGTTTGGACCGAGTCCAAAAACAAGACCGCACCATTCTGGCCAAGATCGTGAAGCAGGAGATCCGAATCATCTGTTAACACTGCACAGCCGGTAAGTTTGGCTACTCTGGCGCACTCGACATCTGCTTCTCCTGGCACCATGACGGTGATTTCCGCCCAGGGGTAATCAGCTTCTGTGGCAAGACAGCTGATATCATCATCAACCTCTTTCCGGATCTGTTCCTTGTTCCACCGGCTCCGCAAGTCCTCAAAGACCGCGGATACCATCCAAGGATTTTCTGGAAGACCTTTTCGCCGTTGAGGCAAGCCTCGACTGCACCAAACCTGCCCCCGTTTAGTTGGGATGACATCGCGACATTTGGGTGTCGCAGGCAGAGACAGGTTTCGGCGAGCTAATTCCAGCCGATGTCGTAGCTTCTCGATTCTGGAAAAGCGGATTTCTCGCTTGGAGATGGGCAAGGCACCATCAAAGCATATTTTATGTCTAAAGAGTAGAGAGAAAAAGGGAAATGATAATCAGAGAATAGCTGTGTTGAAGACTAGTGTGAAGGCTTACATTTTAACTTCCAGTCTGGTTAATTCGAGGAGGAAGCTGCTCACTCCACGACTGATTTCGTCGCAGGTCGGCTGGTAGTCAAGGACATCACTGCTTGGATCCATCCAACCCAGGAGTCGACGGTAGACATGGTATACTAGACTGGGTCCGTCGATGACAACAGCTTGGACGTGCGGAAGTCCTGAATCGGTTGCCCTCCCATCTAATGAAACATTTTCGGCATATGGAAGTAGATGCCTAGTTAAATGAGGGATGCCCATAGCCAATGTCGTGTAAGAACCCTTCTGATTGTGGGTTGTTTTTTTTTGTTAGGTCCAACCCTGGGAATTTTTTCGTATTAGTCAGGGATGAGGCGGGTTCCAACTTTGGATAAGAGACTTTGATATTGATCTCATCTCTCTTAAACTTAGGAATGAAGATAGGTATAGACTTGAGAAGTCGGCGAGAAAGAAAATTAGATGTCATCAAAGTAGATAGAATGAAAAGAAGTTCTTGAAATTACTATAAAATCACTGGATTCATGAAACAAATGCATACATATATAGATTCAACGTAACAAGCATGATAGATAACACAGAAAGAAAATAAAAGGCATTGTATGCCCCGAGAGATATTTATCCAAGTATGGACCTGTCCATTTTAAATTACCGAGCAGATCGCAAGAATCCAACCACTCCACGACAGTAGCCTACCAGTTCAGCCAGGCGCTTTCCCTCCCGCTGTTGCTCGGTAGACCAAGTTGCTAGAGCATCTTGCAATACACGATACTGAGGCTCATCCTGGGTAGAGCTGAGACTCACAGTGTCGGCATGAATCTTCAAAAAGACTGCCATCCAAGCATTGACAAGCTCAAAGTCTCTCTTCGACTTTAGGCGAGCAGTCAGAGCAGTAACGAAATCGGACAACTCAGAGTGTCCATCACGTACCCGAGGATCCAGTGAGCGGATCTCAAGATCTGCTTTAGCCGGAGAAAGAGTCTTGAGGTGGTCGATAAATGAGGAGAAGTCACCGGAATCATGGCCGGATGCCAATGATCGAGTGAAAATAGATTGAGGAGCACTAGGGATCCCGCCATTTTGCAACTTGGCAATCCGCATCCTTTCGGCTTCGGCGGTTTTGGCCAGCAATGCAGCGTCGGTATCGTCGGCGCCAGCAATTTGACTGCCGGCCTCAGGTCCGCTGGACCCGAGGAGAGAAGGAAGGAAGAACGGAGCCTTCTCGGGTGCCTTGGGAGCTTCCTTGGGGCGATTACGTTCCTGTTGAATTGTTAGCTAGAGACTTGCACTTGTGTGGGATATGACATACCCGAATAGTGTCTAGGTGAAGCAATGACTGCCATCTGCTTTTGGGGACAAGACTCAGAGTCATCATGTCGTGTTGTAGTTGTTCCGTGGCTAGTACTGGGCCCTCTGCCTCATCCTGCTCGGTAGTATCCTCAAATGCGGCTTCAATAAGACCAGCACCGTTTTCTCCTGATGTCGCCGGGAGTCCAACGTTCTCAATAACGTTCTCGTCCAGATTTTTGGTCGACACAGGCATGAAAAGGCTGCGATTGCTCCAAAGACTGACGCCAATGCTACCGGCGTGTGCGGTGGCAAGGAATTCACCAGTTGAAGACATGGCCAGAGAAACACACGTGCTTGAGACTCGGAAAATGTCAATCAGATGCCCGGTGGGCATATCCCATACGCGTACTACCGAGTCCATTGAGGCAGCAACAATCCATCGTCCGTCATTTGAGAAGATGAAATCGTTGACTTGACCCACACATCCCCAGAATTCACGAACGAGCTTTCTGGTCTCGAGGTCAATCACACGGATCGAGAGATCATCACAGCTGAAGGCGACCAATTCGCTCGCCTTGTTGTAACGGAGTCCAGTAATGGCGGCCATGGGGTGCCAGTCTAGCTCATCAATGAATTTCCCAGAGAGGAGATCCCAAAACTATATTTCAGAAAATGTTAATTTGTGTATCCCTATAAAGAGGAGATGGTGGGGTGTACCTTGACTTTGCCATCCAGACCACAGCTGACAACGGTACGGTTCAAGCTGTCAATCATCAAGCCAGTCACAGCTTTGGTGTGTTTATTGGCCGCGGCGGTCGCAGCCTGAGCATTGGATTTGGTGCCACGGGAAGCTGGGGGGCGAGCTGGGAAGCTCTGTCGGTGCTGACCTGACTGCATGTTGAACATGTCGATAGCACCTCCGGCTGATCCTATAACAGCGAAAGTTCCACATTGCGAAACAGTCACACTCTGTGAATAATATTAGCAAAAATGAACAATTGTTCAATCATGTTTAAAACCCTGCGCACCTTGACTTCTGTTCCATCACTGGTTGCAAACGCCCATCGACCTGCTCGCTTCTTGCCCCAGAACCAAGTACGTGCGAACTTGTCACCCCGATGACCAGTAACCACGCTTTCCCAGCCAGTTGTATTGGAAGCATCGGCGTTTGTAACCTTCGGGTTTGACCAAATCGGACCGGAAGTGGTGACTCCCATGCCACCATCACGGTTGAGGCTGCAGGCAATGCATGTAACCTCGGGAGCTTTGAGATCCTCAGTATTTGAAATGTTTGATAGCCCTGCCTTCTTGGCCTTACGTTCCACACTACCCTGTGATATCTCGGCATGCTGACTATCTTTGCGCAAACTGAGCCCCCAGAGACTGCAATCCTTGCTTGCACTAAGAAGCCACTTGCCACCGGATTCGGACCCATCAGAAGATGTCGGCAGGAAATCGAGAGCGCTGATAGCAGCAGAGTGTCCGTTTCTTCTATGAAGAGGTCTGGGAATGGGCGAGAATGGCGTTTCGTCGAAGATCCAAGTCTTCAAAGAATTGTCATCGCCGGATGACACAAGCACTGGCTGTCCATCTAAGAACTCAACACGGTTAGCGCCCATGGGCTTTTCGCCGCTTGACACTCGATGGGCTCCACGAAGAATGCCTGCAATGCGACCTCCATTATTCAAGTCCCAAAGTGTGATATCGCCGCTACCACTTGACGCCGTGGCCATAACACCTGAGCTGCGACCATCGTGGCCAGCACCCAATCCATCGTTGCGGAAAGAAATGGATGTCACTGGGAGACCCCGGGACGATGCATTCTTGAGAGACAAAACCAGCTGACCTGAGCTGACGTTCTGAATAGCTAACGCACCACCCTTATAGGCAATGGCAATAAGTGATAGAGCAGGTGTGGGTTGAATTGCAGTCACTGGCCCAGCATCTGAGGACAAAGGGGGCAATGTGTGAAGGTGTTTTCCGCTGCGGAGGTTCCAGATATCGACAGCTCCGTCCGATCGGCCCACGAATATCTTGTTCAAATAAGTCGGCATGTTGCACATTATTCCGGTGTATATCTTCTCTCCAGAGGAACCCCGAGCAGATTGAGGTCGCAGACTGGCATAGTGCTCATATGTGCCCGTTTTCCAAACCTCGAGGCCACCGGCCCAGCAACCAACCACCCATGAACCAAACACCACCAAGCGTTCAATGGGCCCCTTCAGGTCTGCGGGACCCTCAAGCTCTGCAACCTTTTTGCCGCGCTTGAAAACCCAGACTCCTCCAGGGGACTGCGAGCGGAGATAGCCCCAAGCTGCGAATACCTTATCCTGCCACGCACATGTTGCCGTAATGATCTCCGGTGTTTGCGGTCGAGTCAAAAAGATGAGGTTCAAACCCCGGCGCAAATCATAAGTCTGCAGCGAGTGTCCCACGGAGGTTGTGATTTGAAAGGTCGATTTACCCAGGCGCACCGATGTAAAAGGAACGGGTGTTGGTGACACCAATCCTAGTGTCTTTATGGCGATACGTCAGTTTAAAGAAAACAAGCGATTCCAATGCATCTCTCGACTTACACGAAAAGGAGCAAAGATTTTGGAACCACGTGTTCCAGCATTAACTTGCGATACCCGTTTCTGCCTCTTTGCAAGAGGCAGATCGAAATTATCGGCCGAAGGCATGATATCGATGGACACAACGGCAATAGGAGATATGCCGTAGGGTTCAAAGTAATCCGAAGAGAACCCTTAACTTTTCAAGTGAGAATTTCGTTCTGACTTGTCCACCAAGTCAATCACGAAGGTATCTAACTAGTCCAAGTCTTTCTCACTAGCTTTGTCTTTTTTTTTCCCGCTGTTTTTTTTCTGCCCCGCCCAGCCCTGCAAAGCATTTGACCGCCTTTAAGCAGTTGATGTACCTTTTCCCCGAGTACAGAATACCTTCACATGATGAAAATGTTTAGAATCTCTCTTGGATTTACGACGAATTAATGTATTTATACTGCGTATCGAATTGGAAATTGTATTCAATTCCTTTTATTTAATAAAATAAACTCACCGATCATCTTATCTAACAGTGGTTCATACAACGTACGTGATATCAGATAGAATGGTCATGTACTAGATACTTCCGCTATAAGTACCTGGATAGATGGGGCATACGTACTTTTAGATCTACTAATGGGCGTTCTCTATAGGTATACGAGAAAGCGCGATGAACCTAAAACACAATTGACATACCATTTTCAAAACTTTTCAAGTCTGAACATGAGCGAAAAGTACAAACTTGGAGCCCAAAGGCCGTTCCCTTCTCCGCCTATGTCAAAATGCGGAACCCCCCATCATATTTGGTAATACAATCCAAAGAGTCTGGAGCTTCCAAGACTCCCCCGGCCGTGCTGAGAATTTGTTCCTCAAACCCCCCATCCCATTGATCAAATTAGACTAATTTGACTTGATTTGATTCAAAACGCATTACTACCCATTGACCCCTCATATGGATAATGCCGCTGAGCACAGCAACGGCTCTTCTGCCGATGCTGAACCCTTGAGACTCGCAGAACCCAACCTCTCGTCGCCTCTACTTGATATGGACACCGATAACAACGATCTGACGCCCACAGGACCCGTCCTCGAACCTACAGTGATGTCACCTAAGCCTCCATCACCCGCGAAGTCGATCCAAAGCCAATCAGGAAAAACCGACTTGGGGCTTGACCATCGCCCCGTCGGTCGAATGGGACAATCCGCACGCCCTTTAAGCCACGGACCCAGAAGGTTCAGTGGAAGCACGGCTGCTAGTACCGCTGCAAGCTCTATTAGTGAGGTGGAATCCGGCTCCCTAAAGCCATGGAGGATCGGAGTTTGCGCCTTGGATGTGAAAGCACGCAGCAAACCGAGCCAGAATATCTTGACTCGACTCCAATCGAAAGGCGAATTCGAGGTGATCGTTTTTGGAGACAAAGTCATTCTCGATGAAGCAGTCGAGAATTGGCCTGTGTGTGACTTTTTGCTCGCTTTCTTTTCAGATGGATTTCCCTTGGACAAAGCCATTGCGTATGCTAAACTTCGCAAACCGCTCTGTGTTAATGACCTACCGATGCAAAAGGTCCTGTGGGATAGGCGGCTCTGCCTGAGGATTCTAGATCATATGGGAGTCCCCACTCCTAAGCGGCTGGAGGTCAACCGTGATGGTGGCCCGGTCCTAGAATCGGCGGAACTAGGCCAGCATATCTATCGCCTAACTGGCGTGAAGCTGGAAGGCCCAGATAGTGGAATTGGTGGTGGTGCCCCTCAAACTCAGAGTGTTTCAATGTCCGAGGATGGCGAGGCTTTGATTGTTGACGGCAAAGTGTTCAAAAAGCCCTTTGTTGAGAAGCCTGTCAACGGTGAGGATCATAACATTCATATCTACTTCCCCAATGATCAGCAATACGGCGGCGGTGGAAGAAGGCTATTCCGAAAGGTCGGCAACAAAAGCTCGGAATATGATCCCAATCTCACTATTCCAAGATCCGTCACCGAGAAGGACGCAAGTTATGTGTACGAACAGTTCCTCAGGGTTGATAACGCAGAAGATGTCAAAGCCTACACCGTTGGACCAGACTTTTGCCATGCAGAGACGCGCAAATCTCCCGTGGTCGACGGCCTCGTTCGGCGAAATACCCACGGGAAGGAAGTACGATACATCACGAAACTTGGCAAGGAAGAGGCAATAATCGCATCAAAGATCTCAAACGGATTTGGTCAAAGGATTTGTGGCTTTGACATGCTCCGCGTTGGGGATAAAAGCTATGTCATTGATGTCAACGGCTGGAGCTTCGTCAAGGATAACAATGATTATTACGATAAATGTGCCAACATTCTCAGGGATATCTTCTTGGAAGAAAGACGCAAATGCGAGGGGATATCAGAATCGTCCGAGCCACCATCGCCGGACATCGGCCCCCTATCCAGAAGGAGCACGGCAGGGTCTCATCGCCAAACCCTAAAGACACTGCTGAAGTCTCCTAGCACATCCAGGCTTTACGGGCAAACCCCGAAATCCGAAGCCTCGGAGTCATGTACTCCTTCACTGGTGTCGTCTGGGGTAGAGAGTAACGATGTCAGCGCTGCCCTCAGCAAGTTGAATTCTCGAGAAGCCAACTCCACTCCTCGTGGCTATAGTCCCTCTAACACCAAATCCCCGGCTCTTTCGGTGCAGCACGCCAACGACGAATCCCTCCCACCACTTCCTGCATCTAAACACTCTTGGAAGCTGAAGGGCATGGTGGCAGTGATTAGACACGCAGATCGGACCCCGAAGCAAAAGTTCAAGTTCACTTTCCACAGCCAGCCTTTTGTGAATCTGCTGAAAGGGCACCAGGAGGAGATAGTGATCAAGGGAGAAGCTGCATTGTCTAGTGTTTCTGACGCCGTCGATCTGGCTATGGAGAATAACTTGGAAGACATGGAGAAGCTCAAGTTGCTCCGCACATCTTTAGAGAAAAAGGGTGGTTGGCCTGGTACCAAAGTACAGATTAAGCCAATGTTCCGCAAACGAAAGCCGGAAGAAATGGGAGAACAGGGCCCAATGGAAGCTTCAACTCCATTGCCTGAGGGCAAGCCCTCTGAAGAGCCCCCTGCACCTGTGCCCGATGAAGGAGAGGGACTGACGCCAGATGAGGACTTGCGCAGATCACAAACACGAAGTGATTCTATCTCAGGTGCAACTTTCTCTCGGTTCTCCGCTGCCGAGAATGACTTGATCCTGGACAAACTACAGCTTGTGATAAAGTGGGGCGGCGAGCCCACGCATGCCGCGCGTTATCAATCGCAGGATCTTGGACTGAACATGCGGGATGATCTCAAGCTGTTGAATAAGGAGGCATTGAATAACGTTCGGATATTTACTAGTTCAGAACGTAGAGTGAGCACCAGTGGTGAGTGATTTCCATTCCTAGGATCTGCATCAAGCTAATAACGTTCTTAAAGCACAAATATGGGCATGTTCATTCTTGGATCAGAAGGATATCCCCGAAGACTTGATACAAGTACGGAAAGATTTGCTCGACGATTCAAATGCCGCCAAGGATGTCATGGATAAAGTCAAGAAAAAGCTGAAATTGCTTTTGCGAGAAGGCTCCGCGCCCTCACAATTTGCTTGGCCCAAGGACAAAAACATCCCAGAACCTTCCGTTGTCCTTGCTAGAGTAGTTGAACTGATGAAGTTCCACCGAAGTGTCATGCGGCACAACTTTGAGAAACTCGACGCCTCACCGAACGCCTTCCCGGCTCCATCCAATGACACTGAGACCCCGAGCCAACCCTCTGAAATATCTAGCATTCAGGGCCGTTGGTGCGCGGGTGAAGATCCTCGACTCTTCAAGGAGCGTTGGGAAAAACTCTTCGCAGAATTCTGTGACACCGAGAAAGTCGACCCGAGCAAGCTTTCCGAGCTATATGACAGCATGAAATTCGATGCACTCCACAATAGGCAGTTTTTGGAATGGGTCTTCATGCCACAGGAAAGTGCCCGCGAGTATGACGAAGATCAGAAAAGCAAAATCGCAGCAAAGATAGACGCGCTCGCGGAGGCAAAACTTGCACAGGAAGCCGGGAATGAGAAATCTGATGAGCGCATCGAAAGCCAGACATTTGTTCATCGCTTTGGTTTGAAGAAACGCATCCTTGCTCTCGAGTCACTGCCACACCTTCGGGCACTAGATGATTCCTACGACCATTACTTCAAGCTTTTCCCTGGCTCCCAATCCTCCAAGTGCAAGATGGATGAGCGGCTTTCGAAGCTTCGGGAACTGTACAAGCTAGCCAAGGTTTTGTTCGACTACGTGACGCCTCAGGAATATGGAATCACCGACAGCGAGAAACTCGAGATCGGCCTCCTAACATCCCTTCCCCTTCTCCAAGAAATTGTTCGAGACCTAGAAGAGGTGCAGGCTTCGCAGGATGCCAGGTCCTTCTTCTACTTCACCAAGGAATCTCATATCTACACCCTCTTGAACTGCATATTGGAAGGTGGAATTCAAACTAAGATTGCCAGGAGTGCCATCCCAGAACTTGATTATCTCTCTCAGATCTGCTTCGAGCTATACGAAGCTCGGGACAGTGAATCGGACTCCTACTCTTACTCCATCCGCATCTCAGTCAGTCCTGGTTGTCACGCCTTCGACCCACTTGACGTGCAACTCGATTCCAGACACTCCATCGGCTGCACTCCACGCCGAAGCCTGACAGCCCATCAGGATTGGAAGGAGGTGATTGAGACCCTGAAGGCGAAATTCAACACGTAAGTTATATGCTACTCCCGATCTTCATGGATTTTCACTAATCACTGCATGTAGTGTGGAACTACCCAAGACCTTCATCGCGGTAAACCTCAGTGACAAGCATATCTCTCATGATGAGAACTCACCGAACCCCTCGCGTGATATTTCTCCAACTCACGACTAAGATGGATATCCTGGGGACATTGTATTTGTGATGGCATTTTTGATTCTATGACGGACACATCTGGATTTCCTTCTATGTACCCTTGTCAACGCTGTATTATGTATCTAGAACAATGTAGCAAGAACAACATTTATTAGCCATCTCAAATTGGACACTTTTTGACATCTATGTTTCATGCTTTTAGCACCACCCGACCTAATCATTCATGCCTGCATTGTATAATAGGGCCTCGCCAGTGTCAATAAAAATATATCACGCTGGGATAGGAATTCAACCATCGTATTCCTTATGTAAGTTTCTCTATTATGTGCTGGCTAAAGAAATGACCAAGTAATATTTCAAATTTTAATAAAGCAACAGTCGAGTAATAGTATCCAAAGTGTGATGTTTCTAGTAAGCTAAGTAAATAGTATGACATGGGTGGTTAAAATCCGGGTGAGCCGTAAACCCCGCCTTGTCAAGGAACTGTTGATTTTTCTCTCACTACACTACATACCCAGAGATGTCTGACCCTTTGGCAGTTGATATAGCTGGTAGCAGCTTGAAATACACATCTCACGCAGGTGTTGAGTGTTTGATTGACTTCAGCGACATTCTCTGCGTGTTGTCCAATCCTGCACCCACGTATAGTGTCCTGTTCTTTCAGAAAACCGAACTGGATGGCTCTGAGGACTTTTCCTTGAAAAAGATCGATATAAAATCCCTGCCTGCAGCACTATCTCCGTTGGTGACCAAGATTCCTAGCCACCTTCGATATGAAGATGAGCCACCTGTCGTCCAAGTTGTGGTATCTACTGGATCAGGAATAGGGAAAGCCAAGACAGTCTTTCAAGATGTTGTACGGCCTCTTCTAAAATATATTGGTCTAGAGAGTTACGAGCTCTATGAAACGGAGTCGCCGCAAACTATCATCGAGCTCGCGCAATCGAAATTCCTGGAGCGGGCTCATAGTGGTGTCCCTCAGACCATCATTCTTCTCTCTGGTGACGGAGGCCTCATCGATATTCTCGAGGTTTTCTACAGATCTAAGAAGGCGATTGGTGTATCTCCGAATATTGTATTGATTCCTTGTGGGACAGGGAATGCCATGGCAAGTTCTATCGGATTACGATCTGGCCCTGTGCCAGGTCTTTCAACACTACTTCGAGGCAGCCCATCTCCTGTACCGGTCTTTGCTGCCAGATTCTCACCTGGCAGTCGATTGGTCATCGATGAAGGTCGTCAGCGAGCCGATATTGACACAGATGCTCACCACACATTATACGGGGCCGTTGTTGCGAGCTGGGGTCTCCATGCTGCATTAGTTGCAGACAGCGATACGTTTGAATATCGCAAATTTGGAAGCGATCGATTCAAGATGGCCGCAAATGAGCTACTTCATCCCTCGGATGGCACTCCGCCTCACAAATTCAAAGGCAAAATCACATTAACTGCCTCGAGTGGCCCGGACGAGGCACGTTGTCAAGAAACAGTGGATGCACTTGAGCACATGTATGCGCTTGCGACGCTCGTCCCGCGACTTGAGAAAGAGTTCTTGATTTCCCCAGAATCGGTGCCACTTGATGGAAAGATGAGGTTCATCCGCTTCGGTCCTATGTCGGCGGAAGAAGCGATGCATTTGATGACTCTAGCCTATCAGGGTGGCCGACATGTGATAGAAGATACGGTCACCTATGTCGACATTGAGGCAGTTCGAATCGATTTTCAAGAAGATGAGGAGAAATGGCGACGCGTTTGTATTGATGGAAAGATCGTTGCTGTCGAAAGAGATGGCTGGGTGGAAATTTGTAAAGAACCTAGCCGTTTGCTGAACTTGATCAATTAGATAGAGACTGAGCGATAGAAATATATTAGAAGACTGTCCGATGGTTGTCCGGGGGCCGTATAATCAGCAAATCAGACGCCTCCGTACCTGGCCCCCAGGTACCATCCTAGTCCTTCGTCTATTCTGTAGGCACCATCGCATTCGTCATCCTTCAAATCTAAAGTTACCTATATATTTACGCCCAAATATCCTAGAGAAGGTCTTTATCACCATGTTGCAACTGTCTCTGTCTAGCAGCATTGCTACATAGTTTCGGTCAATCGCAATGGCCTTCAATTCCACCTCTTGGGCAGATAGCTCGGAGAACACCTTCGGGCCGGCTAGCAATTTGAGGCCATTTGACTTTACTATTACCTTCGAACAGGCTATACTGTCGATCATTCCTTCGGCGGTCCTGCTTCTGGCTGCACCAGCCCGACTATTCCATCTGTCTCGCTGTCAACGAAAGACACTCCCCGAACATGACTCTATTTTGAAGTTGGTCAGATACACTTGTTATAAATATTCCCCATAAATTGCGCTGTGACTGATGAACTTATAGGTCGCGGCTTCGATCAATTTCGCCCTTCACCTCTCCCTCCTGGTGCTATGGAGCGTATTAGTTACTTCGCCGACGTCGACTAGCATCCCATCTGCTGCTCTTGGTCTCGCCAATTCTATCATTATTATTGGGCTGTCCTACATCGAAGACATGAAATCAACACATCCCTCTTCTCTGTTGACTGTTTATTTGCTTCTCTCGATTCTGTTCGATGCGACACAGATTCGGACACTATGGCTTACACATCGAGTCACTATTGCCGCAGTACAGAGTGCAATCCTTGGGACTAAAATCGCCATGCTCTTATTAGAGAACCGAGAAAAAACATCTTATCTGAAATCCCCTTATAAAGAGTATCCGCCCGAGGCAACCCGTGGCGTTATTGATCTAGGCTTTGTCTGGTGGCTGAATCGGCTCTTTTTGACTGGGTATCAGAAGATCATTGGGAGTCAAGACCTTTTTGTTCTTGAGCCTGGCCTTAGCTCTGGCAGTACAGGCGAAAGATTGAAAAGAGCTTGGGAGAAGCATGGTCTGATATCTTCTCCGAAGTTGGATATATCATACACTGACACCTCGTAGGCAATGCGGAGAACAAGCTTTCCTTGCCTTGGGCTTTCTTTTGTTGCTTTTGGTGGGAATTCCTCGCTGTGGCTTTTCCTCGACTATGTATGATTGGCTTCAACTTTGCCCAGCCATTCATGGTTACGGCGGTCTTAGTTTACATAGAGGATCCGATCACACCAGAGAGCTGGAATCGTGGATATGGTCTCATCGGAGCCACTTTCTTGATCTACCTTGGGTTAGCGGTATGATCTGTGCCTTCGGACTTTTGCTTTTGTATTTCTTTTGCCGCTAATCAAGATACTAGTTGTCTAATGTTCACTATAGACATCGCTTCTCCAGAGTGAGCACTCTGTTCCGGGGCACAATGATCTCATTGATACACGACAGGACCTTGACGCTTCAGGCTGACTTCTTTGCGGAGAGTGCAGCTCTCACGTTGATGAGTACAGGTGAGCTAGAGACGCAGTTTGGCCTGTCTGAGGAAATAAAATTGGTGTACTAATTAGCCCCGAAAAGACATTGACGGCATTATTGAGCACCTAGAAAACTTCAATGATATATGGGCTCGCACGATTGAAGTAGCAATTGGTACATGGTTACTTGAACGACAAGTGGGTCCAATTTGCGTGGTTCCATTGATTCTGATTCTAGGTGAGTAGCAGGAGCTGCGTAAAGAACAATTCGTACGTTCCATACTTATTTCTTATTAGCATGTCTGGGTGGTCAGAAGCTTGTGGCGAAGACAATCGGGAAGAATCAGCAAGATTGGAACCTTGAAATCCAGAAGAGGATTCAAAACACATCTGCAGTACTGGGTTCTATCAAAGCTACTAAGATTTCAGGACTCTCTGGCAAACTATCGCAGACCCTCCAGGGGAATCGCGAACGAGAACTCTTTATATCCCGCGCTTTCTTCACGGGGATCATGTGGCTAAACGGTCTAGGTCAGGCAATATGTCTATACAGCATATATAGTGTTCCTACGCTGATATCAACTAGCAAGTGTGCCTCGGATATGGTCGCCTGTCATTACCTTTATTGTGTACGCTGTACAAGCACAGATCAGGGCCGATGACTCTCTCACTACCGTGAAAGCATTTACTGCTCTAAGTATTATCACGCTCGTCACTACGCCCGCGGAACGACTCCTCGCTGTCTTGCCCCAGCTATCGGCTGCCATGGGGTGTTTCCAGCGGATACACGAATACATGGTATCGGAGTCACTGAAAGATAGTCGAGTTAGCAAAGAACCTTCATTGTCTACTTCCAGCGACGTCGAGCCTCAGGTTTCCATCGCCTTGGATTGCGCTACTGTCTTACCTTCACAAAAGGCCACATGTATCGCCCTTACTGATGTGTCTTTCAAAGTCGCCAGCGGCAGCCTTGTGATTGTTATTGGGCCTGTTGGCTCGGGTAAAACTACGTTGCTAAAGACCGTCCTAGGAGAGCTTGGTTGTGTGTCGGGTGCCGTGTCTATCGAATCGAACAGCGTATCATATTGCAGCCAGAATCCATGGTTGCTCAACACGACAATCAAGAAAAGCATAACTGGTATCTCGGACCATGAAGTCGACGAGAAGTGGTATAAATATGTCATATATTCATGCTGTTTGGGCGAGGACATTCGTCGTTGGCCTGATGGTGACCAAAGTGAGATTGGAAGTAAGGGTCTTGCCCTTTCGGGAGGTCAAAAACAGAGAGTGGTATGTGATTCCAGGATTTGTGGCATCTTGAAAAATGCTAATGCCTCTTTGCAGGCGCTGGCTCGTTCGGTGTACAGCCGCCATGATATAGCCTTGCTCGACGATGTCATGAGTGCGTTGGACGCGCACACGCAAGAAATGATCATCCAACGACTTTTCTCTCGTGATGGGATATTTCGCCAGCTAGGCACAACTGTCGTTTTGACTACTCATAATTGTATGCTGCCCTTCAGATCTTGTTGACCAGTGAGTGCTAACTCGCGATCATAGCTCGACTCCTTGGGATCGCAGACAGTGTGGTCTCGCTCACTTCAGATGGCCGAGTTGACCTTCAAACAACAGGAAGTGAAGCCATGCGTAATACAGATTTGCAGACTAGACAATATTCGGATCTGCAGATACAGAATGATCTCGATGACAAACCCAATAATCATCCAAACACAATAGCTTCGAACTCCAACCCCATTAGTGAGATCGAAAATATGGATCGGACTCGGCAAATTGGAGATCTATCAGTATATTATTACTACGCACAAACAGTAGGTCCAGTTCTTTGCGCCGTGTTTCTTGTTGGGCATGCGTTCTTAGCATTCGCCGAGAGCTTTCCCCAAGTATGGTTGAGCAAATGGACCACAGCAGGAGGTGGACAGCTTCCTCTCTATCTATCTGTCTATGTGATCTTGGCACTAGCGGCATCGCTTCTTACCGTTTGCTGCATATGGGTCGTCTTCCTTAAGCTGATGCCGAAGTCGGCCATTCGTTTGCACTGGTTGCTTTTGAATACGACTATGCGGGCACCGCTTTCCTTCTTCTCTGCCACTGATAATGGTGTGACCTTGAATCGATTTAGTCAAGATATGACCCTGGTAGATTTAGCTCTTCCAATTGCGCTGATGTCTTCCGCTGAGGCGTTCTTTGGATGTATTGCTGCCATTGGCCTGATTGCCATGGGGTCTGCTTATATGGCGACAACAATACCGGTCACACTGATTGTACTCTATTTCTTGCAAAAGATTTATCTCAAGACAAGTCGCCAACTACGATATCTCGATCTGGAATCTAGAAGCCCATTATACTCCCACTTTGCCGAGGTCCTCGAAGGTCTGCCGACAATTCGGGCTTTTGGCTGGCAAGACGCCTCATCAAAAATCCTAACTCAACACCTCGATCGGTCCCAAACGCCGTATTACATGTTACTATGCGCGCAAAGGTGGTTGAATCTGGTCTTGGACATCGTGGTGATGGCATTGGCAACCGTTGTGGTAACACTGGCCGTCATGCTGCGTACCAGAACAGACTCGAGCCTCCTCGGCGTCGCATTGAACAATATCCTTGGATTCAACCAATTGTTATCATACTTCATCACATCATGGACTACTCTAGAGACCTCTCTCGGAGCGATAGCACGTGTCAAGTCATTTGTTGAAACCACGCCATGTGAAGACCAACCAGGTACAATCGCAGAACCGCCAGCATCTTGGCCCGACAGAGGGGAGATAAACATACAGGGTCTCTGTCTCCGCTACCGTGACAGAACTCTGGCTCTGGATGACATTTCTATGCAAATCCGCCCGGGTGAAAAAATCGGTATCTGTGGCCGCACTGGCAGGTACGTGTTTCTCATCTCCTGGCTTTCCTTTATTCGACCATACTGCTAACCAACCCTCCATATTCTAGCGGGAAAAGCTCCCTCACGCTGGCCATGTTGCGCCTTGTAGACTACTCGCATGGCAATATCACAATTGACCAGACTGACATTTCCATGATCACCCCGGAATCAATCCGAGAGAGGCTGATAGCAGTGCCGCAGGATCCGTTCACACTTTTAGGAAGCATCCGTTATAATGCAGACATCATGGGACTCTTCAGTGACAGCCAAATTACAGCTGCGCTGAAACAGATTGGCGTTTGGGATGCGATTGAAAGCCGTGGGGGCCTGAATGCACTCCTTGAGGACCATCCACTGTCGCAAGGAGAGCAGCAACTCTTTTGCCTGGCACGGGCAATTCTCAAAAGGCAAATCAGTAACGGTGGATGTCAGGTACTAATCCTGGATGAAGCAACGAGCAGTCTTGATACCCAAACAGACCAGCGAGGGCAGAACGTCATGAGGGATGCTTTCCATGACTGTACTGTTTTCAGCGTCGCTCATAGAGTATGCCCCCAGTTTCCATAACTCTAACGGATCCTAAGAACGAGCTAATGGTTGGACAGCTTGATACAATCATTGATTTCGATCGGATTGCAGTATTGGATGCCGGCCGTCTTGTTGAGTTTGATACCCCACAAAACCTTCTTGCTAGAGAAAGTTTATTCAAGCAGATGTACTCTGGCAATAAACAAGAATTTTAGTGGCATGTACCTGGGCACGTGGGCATCCATGGAAGTGCTTAAGTGGGGCAAGAGCTCCCCGGGGCCAGGCTGTGCTCAGTTTTACTCGGTGGACAAAAAGCGGCAAGGGAGCGAGCGCTAAAACGGAAACGAACGCCAAGATTTGCTTATACGGGTGCATTTGGTTTTATAAACTAAAGTGTTGTTGATCTCGTAAAGGGAATTTAGTCATGTGTTTTCCGCCATCTCCGAACCCCGTAAACCACACCCCAACATATGAGATGTGCCATATTGAACCTCTCTTATCTAGCGCCCTACATTTGCTTGACTATAATGGAACTGCCCATTAGATTCGATGCTGATCACTGCGCGCACCTATTCAGCCTCCCAAACCCCAGACCTAGGTGCCCAACTGTCTAATACAAGGTCACGATTTCATCCCCTCTCCGGCTGGAAAACAAGTCCGGTAGATACAAAGGAAGCGACCGACATGTTGTTAGTCCATCAAGTTGGTAGTGTTCGCGTTGGGGAAGTTGTTAGGTGAGTCCGGTCCGGATTGCCCCTCGAGTCTGAAGTCTTTCTAGATCGCTAATAGTAAATCCTCTATCAGATACACAATTACATACACCCCGGCGGCCGATCCAATCCTTCCCATTCCTTCCAATCTCTACGTGAGGGTGAAGAACACATCTGCCATCCCATTACGCGCCGCATACCTCCATGGCCCGTACACGCTATACGCCGCTTGCTATCCCTCTCAGTTCGACCCCAACACTAAATATGAGCGACAGGATTTGGAGGGTACACCGCAGTTTGAGCCCTACCTCAAGGCCGGAGGTGGTTGGGACGCCGCCATCAAGGTGCCGCCGAATCTCCTGGAAGCTCACGACTTTGGCTCTCCCGGTCAAGGTGGACCGGCAAGTGGACAGAGCGTTAGCTGGATTATTGAGATACAATCACAGGTGATATTCTCAAGTAGTGCAGCGGTGCATTTTGAGCTGCTGGTGGGCCGAGATGAAAAATCGCTGGCATATCTCTCGGGCGGTGCATGGAGTAGCGGGAATGGTTCGACGGGGCCTCCGGCAAAATTACAAGACCATTGGATCTCTGAAACCAGAGGTAGTCAGGTGCTTGCCTCGAAAGGCGTGTACTCAAAAGCAATCGCTCTTCATGTCGACGATACAACTAGTCTATGGAGCAACCCGCCATTCCCCTCGGCGGAGTCGGCCTCCAAAAGTGTTGATCGGAAGTCCCAGGACTCAAAACCTCCGTGCGACAATCCAGCGCCGGAGGACTCTACTGAAGCTCCGATAGAAAGCGCCAAGAAGAAGCCGGTTCATCTTGTGTTACTGACACATGGGTTGCACAGCAACCTCGGTGCAGACATGCTCTATTTGAAGGAGAGCATTGATGCAGCCATGAGAAAGTCAAAAAAGAAAGACAGTCACGCCAAAGCTCCACACGTCACCCCGGTTGGGCAGGATGATCGAGAAAGCTCGACAAGGTATGAAATCTTTTTGAGCGCTTTGACAACCAACTCTCTAACCCTTCATTTTGTCAGTAGTAAATTCAATCATGTTGAGGATGAGCAAAACAGCCAGTCTAGTGATAACACCGATGATGACGACGAAGAGCAAGTCATTGTCAGAGGGTTTTCTGGCAATGCTGTCCGGACTGAGCGTGGGATTCAATACCTTGGCAAACGGCTGGCCAAATATGTCTTGCTTCTCACGTATCCCGATCAACCCTATTTTCCTCTGAAGGGCTCAAAGTCGAACCCATTTTCTCGACCTTTTAGTGCTCGCAAGGAGCGAGCTCAGCCATTTGCTCATTCGGCCGAATCAACCCCGCAAGAGAATGCCCAAGAATTTGGAAATGAAGATCATGCTTACCAGATTACGAGCATTAGTTTTGTTGGCCATTCTCTCGGTGGGCTTATTCAGACATATGCAATCGCATATATCCAAAAACACTCGCCTGAGTTCTTTGAGCGAATTAGGCCTATTAACTTTATTGCTCTTGCAACCCCTTTTCTTGGTCTCAGCAACGAGAATCCGATGTATGTTCGATTTGCATTGGATTTAGGTCTAGTTGGTCGTACCGGCCAGGATCTCGGGCTGAGTTGGACGGCACCGAAAGTTCGAAGTGGCTGGGGGGCTATTATTGCTGGAAGGGGAGAGTCTACAAAAGACCCCGGCCATTCGGATCCTGGCTCCAAGCCACTTCTACGGATTCTTCCTTGTGGTCCTGCTCACGAGGTTCTTCAGAAATTCCAGCATCGTACAGTGTACTCGAATGTGGTGAATGACGGGATAGTTCCTTTGCGGACGTCTTCTCTTTTGTTCCTAGACTGGAAAGGTCTGGACCGGGTTGAAAAGGCGAGGAGGGACAATGGACTTGTTGGAACTATGGCCGAATGGGGGTGGGCAGAGTTGACAGGGGCCAACTCGAAATCCCCGCGCTTAGCTCGCCTCGATGAAGAACCGCCTTCAAGTCTTCCGACAATGGAGACCGGGCCTCAAAATGCAGATTCTGCGACCAAGGTTCCCCCGAGGCCTAAAGACGACATTTTGAACGATACACTCTCTCCCAGGCCGGAGCAATTTCTAGCACCACCCAATCGTGTGCGGAATCAGAGAATTCCCGGGGAGGCTGTAGTGAAGGAAAATCTCTCGGGAAATACGCCTTCCAGTCCCCTGGAAAGCTTTTTTTCGTTGTTCCGCCTAAACCAAGGAAAGAATCCCCCTAATAGCAAGAATGCTAGAATTTATAAACGCAGCCAGACCCTGAGCGCTTTGGGGACTGGCGATGGCGATGGCGATGGCAATGGCACAATACCCATTGCTCAAGGACCTTCCTCACACGAGCACGAAGGAGTGCACACGCCCCCAAAAACAACGTTTTTCGAGTCTGCGGGAGACTTGTTGATGCCACCTTTACCACCCGCGGATTTCATTTTGGATCCTGCGGCGCGACCCCGGACAATCTTCCACGACCGCATTTATCACCCAGAGGATATACCGCCACCTTCACCGGAAAAGCGACGCACATTAGCATTTGGTTCGCTACAGGGCAAGCAATCGAAGTCCCCCACGGAGAACCCACCTGCTGGGATCGCGGGCAGTCAGAGTGGCCTCAAGGTCGAAGAAAAAATTGCGAGAGCCTATCACCGTGATCTAACTTGGCGTAAGGTTCTTGTTCGACTTGAGCCTGATGCCCACAATAACATCATTGTGCGGCGGATGTTCACCAATGCCTATGGCTGGCCTGTTGTGAAACACCTGGTTGATACACATTTCGGCCATACGCCCACTGCGGAAACTGACGATTCTCTGAAGCAAAATGTGGAGATGGCCAAGTCTCCAGATATTGGTCCAACTAGTTCGGGCGATGAAGTTGAAGTGCAGTCCGATCCTGTCGATCCAAGTTCAGGAAGAGATAGCAATTTGCCGAATGTCTCCGATCTTCATATATCGGAAGATCTATCTTCTGGCCCTAGTGACATATCACTGGCCGAAGATGAATCACGCATGAGTACCAGTGACAAAACCTACGTATCGAGACAGGACTCGGCACGATGGACTGATCGTGAAGTTGTCGAGGATGACAGCGAGTCTGGCTTCGAAGTGGAAACTGGCGGTGGTTTCCGTCACAGATAATAGCGCCATCTTGGCTTTCATTGTACATACGGTTTCCTTAGAAATATACCCTGTAATTATGTGAATGTCATATTTGAATTGAAGCTTCTTTTACTTTATCGTATTCAACTAGCCCGAGAGGATAACGGGCCAGGTAATCAATACTTCAATTCACCTTGAACATGGCTCCAGAACTCCTCCACCATCTCCTTTTGTCCAGTCCCACCCGGGGAACCTCGAACAGCAAGGTACTTTCGTCCGTCAAGACGAGCCTCCCAAACTCCCGGGTTGCCATCCGCCATAATGCCTCCGGCTTCAGACAGGATAACCCATCCCGCGCAGACATCCCAGGCCCAGCATCCACCCTCCCAATACAGATCCAGTGTGCCATCAGCCACAGCACATAAATTCAATGCGGCAGAGCCTAAACTCCGCATCGCGCGTACCATAGCCCCGCCATTTTCCTTAGATTTGCCTAGCTTCTCATATGTCCGAAGCTTAGTCTCCCAGTTGTTCCCACTGCGATCCGCGCCCCATTCAATGGCAATGAGAGCATTGGCTAGTCCCGACAGGGGCTCAACATTGTCACCTTTAAGCGGCAAACGAGTTTCACGATTGAGGAAAGCACCTTGGCCTCGAATAGCGGAATAAAGGGTTTTCGTGGAGGGGTTATACACCACTCCCACCGTCGGAATGCGCCCAACAGCGAACCCGAGCGAAACACAGGCAAATGGGAAGCTATGCACGAAGTTGATTGTTCCATCGATCGGGTCCACGATAAAGGTAGGGGCATCTGTCAATGGGCGTGCTGGGTCGTATGTTTCCTCGCCGTGGAATCTGGGAGGATGTACGTCAGAAGCATGCTAGCAGCGGAAGAGAAAGAACGTACTCGTAATGTGGGTATTTCTCCCTCAGAGAGGTCGAGATCATGTTTTCAACGGCTCGGTCATATTCTGTGACGAGGTCGGTACCTACGAATATCAGCTGTTTTCTTTTTACTGTTTGTATGGACACGGACTGTTCATTTTCGACCCTGTGTCGTTGGTTCCTGGGAGCGCATTGTTGATGATATCCCCGGCCTTGAAGGCCAATGAGACTAGGAAGTCATGGATCTCGTTGAGGTTTGGATTCTCCATGGTACAATTGAGTTGAGATGGTAAACTTGAGTTCTATAGTTGTTTAAAGGTCAAAGATGGAGGAGATGATCTCCGGGAACGCTAGAGGCGGGGCAATTCCGACCTCTTTTCAAGAAATATGGTAGCATCGACACATTTATTTGTAAGAGATGGATTCTAGATTAGATTATACAGCTCAAAGTACATATGACTATGTCTAATATTGTTCTATATCCATAAGTGTGGTATTACAAATCGTAGTAAAGATCTCAGGGCTAAGTAAGTGACTCCGCGTTTCCAGTGACGTCGAAAACCCCCCCACTTCCGCGGGAAAAAAAAATCTTTGAGATTTCTGCGATTTTGGGATTGACGACACTCTTAGAAGCCCTTCTTTCTGGCTAATAGTTGTACTCCTCCAAATATGCCGACCGAACTCGAAGAGGTACGTGCCTACAGCCTACGTTACCGATTAGCTCACTCACATCTGTCTCTATAGCTGGTGGAATTCCTGCACCATGGAAACACCCAGATCAGACAAATCGGTACGACAACTCCTCTCGCGGCGCGAATATATGATCTAACAGCTCATAGCTTGCGAAAACCTCGTCGGCTTCTCTACAGCCCAGCCTGAATTGTTCAAGCGCCATCAACTCCTACCCGTCCGCGATTTGAAGCTTCTGGTCCGCGATTATATTGTGCGTTATCTGCGACCATGGGGGGTGACTTTCGACTGATATATGTGTACAGCCAATTGCTAAGAATGCATTGACCATCCTGATCAACTTGTCTGGCGATGAAGAGGTGTTGAAACTTCTCGCCGAGGACGAATTCGTTGAGGACTTGCTTGCGAAATTGACGGTGAGTTTGTCTCAGATGTACCTATATACAACAATTGGGCTAATTATTTGATCTCAGAATGTTGAGGAGCCCAACGCCGATGATGTGGCCATGCTTTTGGCCAATCTTGTCAAGCACGAAAACCTACAGAAACTGCTCACCCTCAAGCGAAAAGCCTCTGAAGCCGTATCCACCTCCGAGAACGCGATCGATCAGTTGATGGACTGCTTCGTGAAGGGCGCCGAGGGTGCTCTCAACAAGCGTGCCAATTATGACTACCTATCATATGTGTTTGCCGACCTGTCCCAGACGGAACAGGGCAGAGCCTATTTCACCAAACGTCAGGAATACGATGACGTGGTCCCCATCACCAAGCTGACGGTCTTCACCGAGCACAAAAGCGATATCCGAAGGAAGGGCATTGCCTCTACAATCAAGAACGTGGCTTTCGAACTCGCTGCGCATCCAATGCTCTTTGACGAGGACGGTGCCAATCTTCTTCCTTACCTGTTGCTCCCGCTTGCAGGTCCAGAGGAGCTGTCTGATGAGGATACTACAGACATGCTGCCAGATCTCCAGCTGTTGCCGCCCGATAAGCAACGAGACAGCGACCCCACCATCATCACGACCCATCTGGAGACCTTGCTTCTCTTGACCACAACTCGGGAGGGCCGGGATATAATGCGACGGGTCAAGGTTTACCCCTTGATCCGTGAAACTCACATGCATGTTGAAGATGAGAATGTGACAGAGGCATGTGACCGTTTAGTGCAGGTCCTGATGCGAGACGAGGAAGGTGAAGGCGAAGGGGAACCCGAACAACCTAAAGTCGAGGCACCTAAGAACCAGGATGAAGAGGTTGTAGAACTGTTTTAAATTAGATACCAAATCAATTGTATATATGGAAATGAACCCTATACAACGCCGAATATTGTATAATCGTATATCTTCTCCAGGGCTAAGGTAATTGAAAAGGAAGATAAATCTGCCGATGTCGGGTGGGGCAGCCCCGGAGAGGAACGACAGGTCCTTTTTTACCACACCACGACCTTAGTCCTCCACTAGCTCCGTGGCTCTCTTTTCTGATTCCTCAATGCCCAGGTCGATCTCGAGCTACTGCACGCCCTAACCCGAAATACTAAAAGTATTTCATCATCCCCCCCACCATCACGTCGACCAATATTCCGCTGCGGACGCGGAAGCTGTCTTGTCCCTCGACCTCGAGGCGCAAGTGGCTTCCCGCTGAATCGGATCAGACTGATTCCAATTTCGATGATTGCGAGAGCGACAATGGAAACTACCCCGAAATTGACAATCTACAATCCGACGTGAACCCCGATACAGGGATTGTTCAGCGCTTTCGCGCCTTCATGTCGCGCGCCCCTCTTCTTCCCTCGACGCCCGCCCTGGGTGCTTCCACTTACGGAGCATTGCGAAGCCCGGACGACTCGGAAGATGATATTTCAGTTTCGCATAGTCGCAATGTTCGCGGAGGTTCACAACGCATGGGCTTCGAGAATGGCATCGGAAGCTCTTCCAACGCATCAGGGCCTACTCCCAGACGATCACATTCCTCTGTCAGGCGACGAAACAGCTTATACGCAGAGAGAGCAAATCGTCGGCCTTCATCCGCCACGTCCGATGTGGGATTCGGTCCTGACTCGAAATACTCGTTTGCCACTGGATTGGCCGTACCGGGCAACCCGGTGATGCAGGAGACACCGGCGTCTTCGCCGTATATGACAAGTGATGATGAAAATGTCCTCGATATTGACGATGATGATTCGAAATCCTCGGGTGAGGATCCTCCAGACAACTCGCCGTATGCCCAAGTACGAGCTTCGGTTCCAGCGACGGATGATATCACTCTTTCTATTAACAGTACGCCTTCTTATGGTCCTTTTTTTCTGCTTATATCTAATGCTTCCTAGCACCGAGAATGTGGATACTATCTTTATTATTCTCTTTGACGGGCTCTGCCGCCAATCTTTTCTTTTCTTTGCGTTATCCCAGTGTTGCCATTACCCCAATCATTGCTCTTGTCCTAGTCCATCCACTAGGAAAGTTCTGGGATGTGCTTTTCAAACAAACAGGTGACCCTCTCGAAATTTTTGAGAACGGATCCCTTCATCACCGGGAATCACTCTCTGGTGAGATAGAGCCGGCTCCTCCATTGGCGTCCCGAGTCAGACTTTGGTTTGCCCAGGGCCGTTGGAATGAAAAGGAGCATGCTTGCGTTTATATTAGCAGCAATGTTTCTTTTGGGTTTGCGTTCGCGACTGATGTTAGTACACCAACGGAATATTTGGGACGAAGCTGACCAAGACAGGTTATTGTCGAGCAACATAAATTTTACAACCAGGATGTTCCAATTATGTATCAGCTGCTGCTCATCATATCCACTCAGGTTTTGGGATATGCATTCGCGGGTCTAACTCGACGATTCCTCGTGCGGCCATCGGCTATGATTTGGCCGGGAACCCTGATGTCCACTGCAATGTTTTCTACAATGCACAAATCTGTCAATAAAAAGGCAAATGGGTGGAGTATCTCGCGTTATAAATTCTTCGTCATTGTGTGGGCAGGGGCGTTTCTCTGGTATTTTGTTCCGGGACTCCTGATGCCTGCTCTAAGTTATTTTAATGTGATCACATGGTTGGCACCCAAGAACGTTGTGATCTCGAACTTGGTAGGATATTCAGATCGTCTCCAACTGCTTTGACTAACCTTTCTAGTTCGGTGTTGCCTCTGGTCTCGGAATGTTCCCCTTGACCTTCGATTGGGCTCAGATTGCTTATATTGGCTCCCCATTACTCACGCCTTGGTGGGCCGCAGCTAATATCGTGACGGGACTGGTGGTTGTCATCTGGGTAGTTGCCCCAATACTTTGTAAGATCTTCCCGTCTTGTCTTATTTGACTCTGCTGATCAAACGAAGATTATAAAAATGTTCTTTTCTCTGCATATATGCCCATAGTGTCAACAGCAGTGTTCGACAACGCTGGGAAACCATACGAAGTGAGCCGAATCTTGACCACGGATTTTCTGTTTGATGAAAAGGCCTATCAAGATTACTCGCCAGTTTATCTCCCAATAACCTATGTGTTGTCTTACGGTGTTCAATTTGCTGCTTTGACATCCCTTGTCACTCACACCGTTTGCTGGTATGGGAAGGACATCTGGCATCAGACCAGAAAGGCTTTTGAGGAAAGACGAGAAGTGCCAGACATGGAAACCTATCAGCCCCTTCGTGGAAGCAATGATACGGTTCGACAGAGTTATGACATCCCAAGGACCGCCTCCCATGAACCGAGCCAGGAGATCCCATTAGGAGGAGAAGATGTTCATTGTCGCTTGATGAGGCGCTACAGGGATGCTCCCCTCACATGGTATCTTCTCGTGTTCATTTCCATGCTTGCTACTGCCATCTTCACGGTGGAATAGTACGTTCCCCCGCCTCTTTAATCTTTCATGGTAGCTGACCCTAGCCTGAAAGCTATCCAACACACTTACCTTGGTATGGGCTACTCTTGGCTCTTGGTATTACTTGTTTGTTTTTCATCCCAGTGGGCATCATCATGGCCGTCACCAATCAACATAGCAGCCTCTATCTGATTTGCCAACTCCTTTGCGGTATTGTATTCCCGGGAAGGCCTGTAGCGAACATGATTTTCGTGACCTACTCATATATCAGCTCTGCACAAGGGATCAAATTTTCCTCAGACCTCAAACTTGGCCATTATATGAAGATTCCACCGCGGATTCTGTTTGGCGTCCAGATGATGGCGACTTTGGTCTCGAGTCTGACCCAAATTGGTGTGCTGAATTGGATGTTCACTTTTGTCCCGGGACTTTGCACCCCGGAGGCCATCAACGGTTTCAACTGCCCCATTGCTCGAGTCCATTTCAACGGCAGCATTCTTTGGGGAGTCGTTGGGCCCCAGCGCTTCTTTGGCCCGGGAGGATTGTATCGTCCGCTTGTCTGGGCCTTTTTGGTGGGAGCTGTGGCTCCCCTCGGAGCATGGCTTCTGGGAAGACACAGCAAGAAGAGCTTCTGGCGTATGGTCAATTTCCCTATCTTGTTTGGCAGTCTGAGCTGGATACCACCTGCAACCGGTCTCAACTTTTCCATTTGGGCTCTTGTATGTTTCGTGTTTAATTATGTGATTCGTCGACGGAGGACCGCATGGTGGGAAAAATATGCAATGACCCTGTCGGCTGCATTGGATTCTGGTTTGGCATTCGCAGTGGTTGTGGTCTTCTTCGCCTTCATCTACCCAGGCTTGGTCGATGGTTTCAAATGGTGGGGGACTGAGATCTATAAACAAGTAAGTCCCCAAGTCTCTGATTGTTTGATCCCTGCTAACTGTCTCAAGGGCTGTGATTGGATTGCTTGTCCATATAAACCACTAGGACCGGGTCAACGATTTGGCCAGTAGATTTTGCATTAACTGTAAAAAATAGAAAATCTAATATGATTATAAAACTCTATGGAAATGCAGTACCTAGTGAAATAGAAAATGAAGAATAGCTGACCTATGTTCTTTATTACTTGGCGCGAGTCAAAGAGTTAAGTGTTGATCTTTAAAAGAGCCTCCTGTGCACGGACCACATGACCCGGAGATCTCCCCGAGCCACGTGACCATGTTAGCGGGACGGGTAAACATTTGCTCCGAGGTCAACCGTCATACCTGCGGGTCGCTGCCTCCAGCTCTTTCAAAGTGACTTTCTCATCTCTCACTCTTTCAACCTGCCCCTTGTCGCAACACAAGACAGGCAAAAGGTTACATTTCTTCCTTGTTTCCACCCCTGGCCCGACCCGTTCCGTCGCTTTTTACCACTCGTACAACTCTGCCTTGTACACCGGCAACATGTCGACCCCAACGAATCCCTCGAATGCTCGCACTCCAACCGGGCCAAACGGTGCGCCGCTGATGAGGATTCGTCGTCCAAGAGCAGCGGACCCTTTGGTCCGACCGAAGAGAAGGCCTGTTCCCAAACCAGCTGGCGCCACTCCCGCCGGCAATGGAACAGCCACCAAGACTCTTCCATCACGGCCACAAAAGCCCAACCCCCAGGCGATCTTTCAGTCCGAGCGACCTATGCTTGAGCTTTCAAACAAGGAAATGGCTTCAAATGGGTTTAGCGGCCCTTTGCTAAGTGACAAATACTTTGATTACCCGGTGGTGACCACAAAGCGAGCTCTGATGGAAGGGCTGAAGCACCACATCGCGCGATTTGCCTCAAAGAAGAGCGTCGACCCACGTGATGAATCACAATTTACACGACCAGTTCGACTTCACCGCCGCGACCCGCGTTCACGAACTCACGATCCGAATTCAGGAAGAAACGAAATCGATGGCCAGCCGATGGATGAAGCTGAACGTGAAGCCTTTGATGCTCGGAAAGCAGCACGCGAAAAAGAACGCGCTGAGAATCTTTCACAAATCGCCCCGGCTCTCGGCTCAACCTCGAAACGACCAAATGCCCCGAAGCAGAAGACGCAGCAGGTCTTCAAGTCGGATATGACCCCTGAAGAGATTGCACGAGCACGGATCAAGTACGAAGAGGCCTTGCCTTGGCATCTGGAGGATTTCGACAACCAGCACACCTGGGTTGGAAACTACGAAGCAGCTCTGTCCGAAACACATGCAGTCTTTGTCCTTGACAACGGAAAGATGAGAATGATACCGGTCGAAAAATGGTACAAGTTTAACGCGAAGAGTAACTTCAAGGCTTTGACCATTGATGAAGCAGAGAAGTTCATGGCCAAGAGAGTGAAAGACCCTCGGTGGTTCATGGAAAAGCAGCAGCAGCTGGAGCAAGAGAAAGAACTGGAAACATACGCTAAGCAGCGTAAAGTCTACGCCGGAAAGCAGGGTACAGATGCCGGAAAGGGCGCAGGATTGGAGGCCGGTGAAATGGATTTCGAAGAGGATCGATTTGCCGACGACGAAGAGCATGATGACCTCTTCAATGAGGATGAAGATGCGAAGGATGCCGAAAAGAGAATTAAAGAGGACCAGCTTAAGGCGAACGTGTTCAATCTCAAGGACGAGAAGGAGTATGACGCTGAGGAAATGCGAGAGAAACGTGAGCGAGAGGCCCGACGTGTGTTGGGCAAGGGTGTGCGCAAGGCCCTAAAGAGGAGAGAACGGAACTTTGATTACAGCAGTGGTTCAGACGTCAATCCGTACTCGGATGAGGAGGTAAGTTTCCACCCATCTTCAACAGCAAACCCGAAACTAATGTGTACAGAGCTCCGATGACAGCGAAACTGAGCGGGCCAAGGAGGAGGAACGCAAGAAGGCCGAAGAAGAAAAGCTCCAGAAAGAAGCGACCTCCTCCAAGGGAACAAACACTCCCTCTGGTCGTCCCAAGCATACAGATGCCCTGAAGAAACCGTCTCGGAAAAGGCTTGGATCACCAAACGCATCCGATGCGAGCGGCACCGATACGTCCCGAAAGAAGGCCAAAAGCATGCATCTCCCTACGTCCCAGCCCCCGTCGCGTCCGATCTCTCCATCGGCATTGCAGGTACGTACAATCATTCCCTTTTGGCCAATACATACTGATTTACGCAGACTGGCAAGAAACGCGTGCGAAACATTCCTGGTGGCGCTGGATCTGGCAGTGATGTCGACACTGGTGTTGGATCTGGAGCTGAAATGACCGAGGGTGGTAAGATCAAGAAACTGAAACTCAACCCTACTGTTGCTTCTCGTGGTGGCACCCCACAAGGGTCCCGCGCCGCAAGTCCTTTGCCTCGGGTCTCCGGAAGTCGTGCCAACAGCCCCGACGCCCTCAGAGGTGAGTTCCATCTATTTTCTATACAAGACATGAGCTAATCATCCGCAGGTAATCGTGTGTCGACCCCAATTTCTGGAAACCAGACGTTCCCGACGGCCGGAGAAATCCATGCAGCCATCCCAGCATCTGGCATTCTCAGCAGCGATCTCTTGAAGGTCTTCCGTCCTCGTATTGGCGAATCCAAGGAAAATCATCGGCGATTCATTGCCATTGTCAAGGATGTCAGTGTTTACGGAAAAGAGGATCGGATGCTGCGACCTGGTCCCTGGAAGGGAAACTGAGATTTGCGCCAAGAGATTTCTTTGCAAAGATTAAAATATCGAACACCTTCAATGTTCTTACTTTTATTTCCTATCTATCAATCGCTGTCCAGTGGACACTTTGTGATTAGGAATGCTTTAGTGCCAAGTTCATAAAGATCACCTGATATCATTATCATCAGCATGGAACACCCGGCCAATCTACTTTTTAAACACTTTAAAGAGGCAAAACACTGCCTTGATGGTCGTTGTGTCTTATAGTTTGAGAAAAATAAGCGGTTTCAATTTGGCGCTAGGAAGCCAAAAAAAGATAAAAGCATAAACATGGAAAGAATAAAAAAGGGAAATCATTGAGAGTTTATGTCTTGTCTTGGGGCCGATCTCTGAATGGAATGTTTTCTCCGCCAGCTCGGATCGAAACATCGCGGAGCTCATGTATGCGAATCAGTGATGGTCCGATCATAGGAGTACGTCTAGTTCTACCCTTAGTGTAAGCGATCTCCCAAATTCCAGCCTAGAACGGGATTTTTGTGGTTGATGATAAATGTTTGGCTGGCAACTCCGAAAAGATCAGCCATTATATAGGAAAAGGCTTCTCTATCTTCTTGAGCACGAGTGTTGTCATCGTCCCAATAACCAAGGTCGTAATTTGGGAGTATGTTTTCCCTCTGGCCTTAACCGCCCTTTCCAGTGCAGTTTTAAATCGGGAAGACCAATTCTTTTGGAGCTGATCCGTCTTGGAATTTTCGATAGAGATTTTGGGGATGCGGGTGAAGTTGTAGAGTTAGGCGAGGTAGGAGGGTTAGACTGAGAAGATTCCATAGTCAAGTAACTTAACCGCAGGGCGAATGAAGGGTATGCAGAAACCGATTTGAGTATAAAGTAAAAAAAAAGGAGGAAGTCCCCTTGCCTTAGATTAGCTCAAGGGTCTTGGGTATTGAGGGCTCACGGGTAACTGACGAAGAGTTATTGAGATGATAGAGAGGTGAATAACTAGAGAATTGAGAAATGAGTAAAGGTGAAAGATGAGTGAGAGTTGTTTGCTGAAGTTAAAGGCAGAGATGTTTGTGGAAAGGAAAGGAAAGAAAGAAATCGAGACCTGGGGACTAATAGAGGTAGGATAGGGTAGGACGAACCATAGTAGAATAAAAAAACTACAGCCCAATATTGTGTGCCTGTTGATGTCCTATGCTTCCATGTGCCTCTATATAGTAGACTATGTAGTTCTCTCCCGCAAGCAACGCCTACTAGCTAGGATCACTAACACAGTCCTATCTGAAGATATTCGCTGGTCTTATCTTTGGTCTCTATGGCCTGAGATTTTTCGACAATCCTATCGTTTCTTGCAGTTTCGACACAACTGCATCCCCTAGAACCACTGACTGGGTTCTATCTTTGTTCTTTTATATACTTTGGTATAGGCACAGAATAGTAAAGCCAATAATGTGGCCCCATATGTTCAGCTGTAACTTCCATATTTCTCCATTGAGTAACCCCTAAAATAGAACCTTGAATATAGTGTAGGCCAGGACCCGTGGTTCCTGCATGCTAAGCCTTTTATGTTTTTAAGCTTATACAGGAACCTTGGGACGCAGTTTCCTCTTGTAGACACTTCCTTGCACTTCCTTGCAGTTTCAGCTAGATGGAATTGGCAACATGCCCTTAACCTGAGCAGCCCCCTCGACTGGACATATCCAATTCACTCGTCTCTCAGTGTATACCTCCACCGCAGGCTCCCGTTCATTCATAATGTCAACATCATCAAATATTCCTGCCCGGACAACTGTAGCCTCACCAAAATCTCCATTGGGCTCTATCCTTCGTCCAAAAAGCGGGGTTCCTATCATATTTCGTCAGATGCTTCCTCCAAATTCAGTATAATACATACCACAGTCAGGACAGAAGTAATTCTTAATACTATTTCCGCTATCTGATGTTTTGGCCACTTCTTTCGGATTTCCGGAGATCTTTAGTTCGGCTGTTTTCACGATGAAATTGTATGTATAGACTGAGCCGGTGAGCTTGCGACAATCGAGACAGTGACATATTGCCTAGTATGATTAGATTGGTTGGAAAAATTGATTGTATAAGCACTAACCGATGTTAGAGGTTGGCCGTTGTATTCGACTCGGACCTTGCCGCAGAAACAGCCGCCAACAACCATTCTGATAGAGGGTGTGTATGTTGTAGTAGTAGACGTAGTAGGAGCAGTAGTAGTAAGTATCTCTTGGGAAGAATTCAAGACTTTAAACACAGTAAGCTCCAGGCATCCTTGTGACTAAGCCTCAACAAGTTCCCAAGGTGGGGGGCAAGTCTGTTGAGATGGGGGCCTGGGGACAAAAGTCCCTGGACTACTGCTACATTTGCACAGGAAGCTCTTTTGAAAGATAATTAAAGAAAAGAACTAATAAATGTCATCACTCCCATTATAAACACAACAAACCAGGAGACGAAGCTGGTTCGAAATCTAAAAACATATATCACAATCATTACGTCTCAACCCAAGAGAACCTTTTAGCCTCTAGGATCTATATGCGAACAGAAAAAAGAAAATGCACCTCTAAAACTGCGAGACAGCAACAGCAACAGCTTGAGAGTCACTGTGGCTGATGCTGACGCTGACCTGCTTGACACCCGCCTGCTTGGCGGCGGCGGCGGCGGCACCGTGAAGCTAGAGATAGGTTAGCATTTGTCACTAGAAATCATAGACTAATCATGCACTTACGTTCACAACCGGAGCGCCATTGGCATCAACTCCGATCTCAATATCCTTCAGGGCAGCACCGGCACCCTTGCTGCTGACACCCAGTGACTTGAAGACAGCTTCCTTGGCACTCCATCGGCCTGCGAACGAGGACTGTGGGGAGGCAGCCTTGCGGCAGTAGTCTTGTTCACTCTGGGTGAAGTTGCGCTCGACGAAGGTCTCGTTCTCAATGTTGACGGAATCAATGTGCTCCACGTCAACACCGATCTTTGAGTTCTCGGTGGCGTTGGCCTTGGCAAGGGTCTCAAGGGTCTGGCGAGTGCTCTCGGACTGTTTGGCTTCGGGGGCAGTGGTGGAGAACTTGAGCTCAGAGGTCTTCTTGTCGACAGACACACGGTAGTCGGGGTTCAGGAAGACCTTGCTCTGCTGTTCATCCTCGTAAGGAGCCTTGCTCTTGGCAACGAAGATGCTGTTGTTGATCAGGCCGTTGTGGAAGTAGCGGTAGGCCTTCTTCTGGCGAGCCTCGACCTTGGTCTTATAGGTCTCGTACTGAGCCTGGTCAAGAGTGGCATACAGGTACTTGGGGTGAATACCAATAACCTGAGCACCCTTCTGACCGAAACCGAAGGAGGTGACGGAGAACGCCTTGACGCCATCGGTCTGGATGCTACGGCTGGGGTAGACGATGTAGTCGAACTTCTCCATGACCTTGTCAACGTTGTCGGCATTGCGGTTGCCGGGCACAAGACCGCTATCCAAGACCTGCAAGCAGCCGTTGAACATCCAGGCACCGGCAGCACCCTTGGGGTGACCAGTGAGGTACTTCTGGAAGATACCCATCACGGCATTACCCTTGGAGCGTCCAAGGTGCTTCATCTGTTGGCAAATGACATCGGACTCGTTCTTGTCGTTTGCGACAGTCGAGGTACCGTGGAAGGATGCGACATCAATGTCATCGACTGTCAGACCCCAAGTAGCCATGGCACCGCGGAGGGGAGCAATGCGGGAATCCTGCTTCCAGAAATTGTTACCCAAACTGTATTGGGCATCCTTCTCCTGACGAATGGCTTCGCGCTCAATGTGCTGAGCACGCTCCTGCATGTACTCGGCTTCGTTGAAGGTCTCGTCGCTCTGAGCCTTCATGGCCTCAGCCTCCTCCTGGAGGTACAGAAGCTCGGCTTCTTGCCATTCGTTGATCTGCTTCTTGCGGAGATCCAATTGACGGCGACGGTACTTAATGTCCAACAGAGGGGATGGGAACTTGCCGGGGTTCTCGCGGGCAGTGGTCAGGACACCCTGGCCAGGAGCGGGAACGGACCGTCCAATCTTGTCAGTGGCGGTGGTGGTCAGAGCAATGATACCGTGGATGGGCACACCCATGTCAAGAGCAAGCTGTGCAGTCATGATAAGCTGCATACCGCAACCCTGGGACTCCATGAAACCGGCACGAGTGGTGGTAGTGGGTCGTGACATCTCTTGCGGGGTGCGACCGTGGGCGAATTCGTCTTCAGCGTTGCTAGTGGCCTTCATGTTGGCGAACTCATAAGAGCCTTCCTCCTGGAAGTCATCGAAACCACCAACGAAGCAAACACGAGCCTTGCCCTCGACAATAGTCTCGTAACCAATATCCACGGACTCAACAGCAGTGGCGCAAGCACCAACGGGAGTCTTAATAGGACCGGTAGATGATAAGAGCAGCATGTTGACCCAGGCAGACATAGTGTTAATGAAGGACTCCTGCAAGATATCCTTTTGCAATGGCTTATCGAGGAAGCGATCCTTGTACATACCGCGCAAAGCGTGGGTACCACCAATACCCGAGCCGATACAGTTACCAACCTCAGACAGGTGGACATACTTGTAGAACTCGTAAGGGTCAGTGACACCGGCGGAAAGCATAGCCTCAGCAGTGCAGACCAGAACAAAGAGGGTCACAGGGTCCACCTGGGAGATAATATCGTCGGGGATACCATAGCGGCTGGCGTCCCAGCCAGTGGGCACCTGACCAGCGACAAGACGATCGAACTGTAGCGCCTTGGGGATAAGCATAGTGGCGCCCTTGCAAAGACGAACGGTGTACTCTCCAGACTCGGGGATCTCGAAGATCTCAACCTTGTCTCCATGCTCACGCTTGAACTCTTCAGCTGTCTCCTTGGAAGCCTCGAAAGGTTCAAGATCCTCCTGAATGACAATTTCTTGAAGGAGCTGCTTCTTCTTAGGATCGTATCCCTTGAACAACTCGGGCTCGATGAGACGGATACCAGTGTGCTCCAAGATGTGCTTCTCGTACTTGGGCTTAACATCCTTATCATCAACGGGTTCACCGGTCTTGGCATCAACCCAGCCAGAGTAGGCCTGACCCTTAAGCGGACCGTTGTGGTGCTTAATCAGACCCATAATCCACGCCATCTCAACGCAGCCTTCCAATGAGAACTTGCCCTTGGATTCCATCTCCCATCGGGTACGGGAGTTACCCCAAGGACCGACTTCAGAGAAACCAGTGACAACGACCACCTTGTCCAGGTTGACCATGCCCTTAAGATTCTCATTAAGCGGCTTGACTTCCTTCTCCCAGTCGGGGAGGTTAGGGAATTCAAACTTGATGTTGGCACGGGGCTCTGCAATAACCTTCTTATAAAGAACTCCGCTGTCTTCGCCGTTAACAATCTTGTGCTCGATAGCGGTCTCCTTGATGACGGCCTGGCGGACATCGCTGGTCTCCATGATGTCGGTGCGAAGCTTGGTCATCAGACCCTTAAGGTCCGGAATGAATTGTAGACCACCGTTAAGATCAGCAAAGACAGGGTCGAGCTGGCAAAGGTTGACGATGGCCGGAGACATCAGTCCGAGAAGGTTGAAAGCCATCTCCTGTTGGGAGAATGTACGGACGCCCAGCTTCTCAACGCCTTCAGCGACCATGTTGTTGCCGCTCATCAGACCAGTACCACGGGTCCAGCCAATGACTGCACCACAGATAGTGAGGTAGTGGCCCCAGTTCTCGGAGTACCAACGGTTGAAGAGAGTCTCCAAAGCAAGCTTGGACTCAGAGTACAAGCCATCATTACCGAAGGTGCCGTGGTTGGGTGACAGGGGCAAGATAACTTGGGCGGGGCGAGTTTCGAAGCCATGAGCTTGCTTTTGGGTCTTGACCGAGCCCAAAAGACGGAGCAGGTTGGTCAACATGATACGGTGAGCTAGCTCGGACTTAGAATCGATAGAGTCGATCTCGCGGCCGTTCTCGGGAATGGCAGCGAAAGGAACGACAAAGTCCAAGTCCCAGCCGAGACCCTTCTTGGTGTCGTAGATGTACTCGACCAAAGCCTCAACATCCTGCTTGCTGCCTTGGTTGAAAGGCACGACCACAAGCTGGGAGCCACGAGCACCGTAGCGGGCGTACATGGCCTGGTAGTACTCAGTAACCTCGCGCGAGAAGCGACTGGTAGTGACGATGACCTGAGCACCACCGCTGATCAGACCTTGGAGGACCTCGGCACCAATGGAACCAGCACCAGCACCGGTCATCAGAACGTTCTTGCCCTGGAAGCTAAGACCGTCCTTGGCAGCCGACTCCATCACATTCAGATAGATGCCAGTCAGCTTCTTGTTATAGTCCCAGCCGTGTTCGGTCTTCTTCTTCAGGTGCAGGAATGGAATGGTCTCCACTTTGCCAGGGCGGGTGGGAGTATTGCGTTTGGCAGCACTACGGCCGCCCTTCTTGGAGTGGCCGTTCTCCTGGGGGATAATCTGGCTCTCGTTCATTCCAAGAGCGTGAACGACGTCCTTGTACAGTGCATCAAACTGGAGCTGGGACGACTTGGAGAGACGATGCTGCTTGCGAATGAGCTTGTAAACACTCTTAAGGTCATTCTGAACCTTAGTGCGGTTGCTGTACTCGGAGATTGGGCCTCCCTCGGCCATGTGCTTGACGTAGTGCTCAAGCTTACGAGCACTGGTGCGAGGGGTCTCCTTGTAGCTAATGTTGCCACGGGCATCGATGGTTGTTTGGGGGCCGGTAGGCACAGCGACGTCCTTGTAAACGGGAGCCACCTCTAGCACTTCGCGACAATTCTCAATGAGCTGCTGTCCAAGTTCCTTGGCCAGCTGGTAGGTCTCTCCGCGCTCAGTTGGGCAGTTATCGATGTGGTATTGCATGAAGTCGAGAAGGAGGGGGTTGGAGCGGTTCATGATGCGGATACACTGGCTGACAATTTCGCGGTCGACCACCTGCAGGCGACCAAAGATGATATCGTAATACATGCTCAAGGCATCTTGACGAGCCCAGTTCCATGAGGAGTCGTAGACACGGGCCTTCAGCTGATCGAATGACGGCTCAATGCCCGAAGCGTAGAAGTCACCGTGCTCTGCTTGCCACAAGTCCAGCTGGGCCTGCAGCGCCTTCTGGGTCTCTTGAGAAATCACATGGGCCTTCTCGCCACCACGGAGGTCCATCTTGAGATAGCGGGCAATGATCTCAAGCTGCTGCTTGAACAGAGCTCGTTGATCCTTGGTCAGGGCATCAATGGCTGCAGGATCCATGACCATGCCACCTCCAGCGCCACCACTGTCACCGCCGGCAACCGGAGCTGAAAGGTTGACTCCGGCACTGGCAGCGTACTTGTTGGTTACGTCGTCAAGATAGGCCTTGGCATCCACTTCTGATCCAAGACGAGCAGCGGGCTCCATGGTAAGAGCAAGCAGGAGCACACCATCTTGACGGCCGGATCCCAAACCCCATCGAGTCTCGAGGTATTTTCTAACAGAAGTGATGTTGAAGCCACCGGGCATTTTGGAGGAGACCATTCTGGCGATGAGGGAAGAAGACTGCTTGCCAAGTTGGCCGTTGAATGTGGCTTGCATTGAAGCACCCAACTCATCGAGGGGGACGTCCTCGGGCTTTTCAGGCGTGGAACCGAATTCCTTACCCAGGTCACCTAGGATTTCATTTTGTAATGTGGACTTGCCTATTGACGTGTTAGACTAAACTCTCTTTTTCAAATGGACTTTGCTATACTTGCCTCCAACAAGATCCTTAATGGCTTTTGACAACGGCACATCCGCAAGGCTCTTCTTTAGCTTCTGGGCAACAAGTGTCCGCAGAATATCAACTGCTGTAACCGGGATATCTTCGACTGAGGCAGCGGGGCCTGCGCTGGGGGGTGGGGGAGGAGCTCCAGCCGCAGGAGCGGCAGCTGGTGCGGCAGGAGTAGCTGAAGGAGCGGGCTCTGTAGCCTCGGGCTCTTCCTCCACGGGGTCGACATCGTAGTAGATCTCCTTGGCATCCTTATTATAGCAGAGAATCTGGCGCTGGACTGAAGTGGCAGCATCGTAGGCCTCGTACTTGGAGGCTAGTGTCCGCCGGGCCATTCCTCCAAGGGTATCTGCGGGACCAATTTCGACAATGCGCTCGGTGCGCTGTTCGGCGAGGATCACATCTTGGGTCTCGATCCATCGGACGGGTGAGGCGAATTGGTAGGCAAGCAGCTCCACCAACAAGGTGTGAGCAAGCTCTTGTTCAACTTCCGGACGCATGATGGAAGTTATGGGTATCAATTGATTAAAACGAAATTAGGACAAATGTCCGGTTTTGCGGGCGCGACAGAGTCGTAGAGTGCCCAAGCGGAGGAAGGAGTGAGTAAGGGAGGATGATATGAAGAAAAGTAATAAGGGGGATAATTAGAATAGGAGTCAATCCTATGAAAAATGTATCAGTGAAAGTCCCCCAAGGCAAATTGGATGGTCCCAGAAAGAAGAAGGGAAAAAAAAGGTGGGAAATGGAGCACGGAGATAGATGTGGTATCAATCAATACCGGATGGTAATTTTCACAGTATCAATGTTTAAATAAATGAACCACTTACCCTAAAGACAACGATGGAATTGAAAAGACAATATTGAGGAATGAGAAGAGTAATAATACTGATGATCCCACAAAATTATTAAGGTCACTAACTGCGAGATTCGGAGGAATGGGGAGATACAAGGTGAAAATTGGTGAGGGCGTTGGGGTTCCAGAGCTTCGGCCGGAAGATCTGACACTAAGCAACGCTATGCGGCATTGCGCGGATCACTAAACAGCTAGTTCAGGGGGGGGATATACTACAACTATGGTGTGAAGATAAATCCCAACAACAGTTTATAGATTCTATATCTACACATATATACTTTGATATTTAAATCAGTACTACTACTACATTAAGTACTACAAAGTATGAAGTACAAATTACAATACAATGGTAACACAATGTAATTCCCAACGGGTTCAACCCAGTCAACAACTCCATTGGGGCGGGTCAATTCTTGCGCTAAACCTCTTTGAGCTGTCTGCAGTTCAACCAGCGGACCTTTTTTTTCTTCCCTATTGCTTTCCCCTTCAGGCTCAATTGTGATCTGGACCTCTTTCCTTATTTTATATGTATATCTGTTGAAATTGTGTCCCTTTTACTTTTCTTTATTCCCTTGATAATACCCCTTAACTTCCCTACGACCATTTTAGGTCTTCCAGTGAGTTAAGTCTACTCTAAGACGTTGCGTGTTGCTTTCTAACGAGAAATAGGAAACCCCCCCCTCTTCAATTTTAGGGTCCCTCTGGTCTTTTTCCTCTTTATCTCCTTCTATTACTTTTCACAGAGAGAGAGCAACATCATGTACGGCACATTGACCGGTCCTCAAACCGGTATCAACACCCCTCGATCCTCTCAATCCCTCCGCCCTCTTATCCTTTCGCATGGATCCCTCGAGTTCTCTTTCCTCGTCCCTACCTCGCTTCACTTCCATGCATCGCAGTTGAAAGATAGCTTCACCGCTTCTTTACCCGAGCCCACAGACGAATTGGCCCAAGATGATGAGCCATCATCAGTGACCGAGTTGGTCGCCCGCTACATTGGCCATGTGGCCCACGAGCTCGAGGAGGAAGATGATGCCCAGGGCAATTACCTGGACGTCCTGAAGCTCGTTTTGAATGAATTTGAACGTGCCTTCATGCGCGGTAATGATGTTCACGCCGTGGCAGCTGCGCTCCCCGGTATTGTTGCCAAGAAGAACCAAGTCGTTGAGGCCTACTATGCCGGGCGAGCTGCGGCGGGTCGGCCCACTAAGCCATACGACTCGGCCTTGTTCCGTGCGGCATCCGATAAAGCTGCAGGTATCTACTCCGTGTTCGGCGGTCAAGGCAATATTGAGGAGTACTTTGATGAATTGCGCAGCATCTACACCACGTACCCTTCTTTCGTTGAAGAGCTCATCACTTCGTCCGCTGAATTGCTCCGATCGCTTTCTCAAGAGCCCGAGGCTAGCAAGCTCTACCCTAAGGGCTTGGATATCATGAAATGGCTTCAAGATCGGGACGCGCAGCCCGATACCGATTACCTGGTGTCCGCTCCCGTGAGTCTGCCATTGATTGGTTTGGTTCAATTGGCCCACTATACGGTTATTTGCAAAGTTTTGGGCCGCCAGCCTGGGGATATTCTGGAACGCATTCTCGGTACTACAGGTCACTCCCAGGGAGTCGTCACAGCTGCTGCCATTGCAACCGCTACCAGCTGGGAATCCTTCGCCACAGCCGCCCGTGACGCCCTGACCATGCTGTTCTGGATTGGTCTTCGCAGTCAGCAGGCATACCCACGCACCTCTATTGCCCCATCCGTTCTCCAGGACTCGATTGAGAATGGCGAGGGAACTCCTACTCCTATGCTGTCTATCCGCGACCTCTCGCTCGCCGCTGTTCAGGAGCACATCGATGCCACCAACCAACATTTGCCCGAGGATCGCCATATCTCCATTTCCCTAGTGAATAGTGCTCGCAACTTTGTAGTGACTGGTCCTCCCATCTCACTTTACGGTCTGAATGTCCGCCTGCGCAAGGTCAAGGCAGCCACCGGACTTGACCAGAACCGTGTGCCTTTCACCCAGCGCAAGGTTCGCTTTGTCAACCGTTTCCTCCCTATTACCGCTCCTTTCCACAGCCAGTACCTTGTTTCTGCCTACGACCGCATCCTCGAGGATCTGGAAGATGTTGTTGACATCTCCGCCAAGTCACTAGCGATCCCTGTCTTCCACACCAAAACTGGAAAGGATCTGCGAGAGCTAGGCGACAAGAGCATTGTGCCCGCATTGGTTCGCATGATCACTCATGATGCAGTCAACTGGGAGCAAGCTACTGTCTTCCCTGGCGCAACCCACATCCTTGACTTCGGCCCTGGTGGCATTTCTGGTCTGGGCGTTCTGACCAACAGAAACAAGGACGGTACCGGTGTCCGGGTCATTCTTGCTGGTGAAATGGACGGAACCAACGCGGAGGTTGGCTACAAGCCAGAACTGTTCGACCGTGATGAGCATTCTGTCAAGTTTGCTGTGGACTGGGTCAAGGAACACGGCCCTCGCCTGACACAGACATCTACTGGTCAAACCTATGTGGATACTAAGATGAGCCGTCTTTTGGGAATCCCCCCCGTCATGGTGGCTGGTATGACTCCCACCACTGTTCCCTGGGACTTTGTGGCTGCTACAATGAACGCCGGTTATCACATCGAGCTGGCGGGTGGTGGTTACTACAACGCCAAGACGATGACAGAGGCCATTACCAAGATTGAGAAGGTTATCCCTCCTGGTCGTGGTATCACTATTAACTTGATTTATGTCAACCCCCGTGCGATGGCCTGGCAGATTCCGTTGATCGGTCGGTTGCGCGCTGAAGGCGTACCGATTGAGGGTCTGACAATTGGCGCTGGTGTGCCATCCATTGAAGTTGCGAATGAATACATTGAGACCCTTGGTATCAAGCACATTGCCTTCAAGCCCGGCTCCGTCGATGCGATTCAGCAAGTCATCAATATTGCCAAGGCCAACCCCAAGTTCCCCATCATCCTTCAGTGGACCGGTGGCCGTGGCGGTGGTCATCACTCCTTCGAGGACTTCCACCAGCCTATGCTCCAGATGTACAGCCGTGTTCGCAAGCAAGATAACATTGTCCTTGTTGCTGGTAGTGGCTTCGGTGGCTCGGAAGACACTTACCCTTACCTCTCGGGTACATGGTCTGCTAAGTTCGGCTACCCTCCTATGCCTTTCGACGGCTGTCTCTTCGGTTCTCGTATGATGATCGCGAAGGAGGCACATACCTCTTATAATGCTAAGAAGGCCATTGCCGATGCCCCTGGTGTAGACGATGAGGAATGGGAGAAGACCTACCAGAAATCAACAGGCGGTGTGATCACTGTCCTGTCTGAGATGGGTGAGCCTATCCACAAGCTGGCCACCCGCGGCGTGCTCTTCTGGCAGGAGATGGACCAGAAGATCTTCAAGCTCGATAAGGCTAAGCGTCTCCCTGAACTGAAGAAGCAACGGAACTACATCATCAAGAAGCTGAATGATGACTTCCACAAGGTCTGGTTCGGCCGCAACGCTGCAGGCGAGACTGTTGATCTGGAGGATATGACTTACGCCGAGGTCGTTCACCGCATGGTGGACCTCATGTACATTAAGCACGAGTCGCGATGGATCGACCCCTCGCTCAAGCGCTTGACCGGTGACTTCATCCGTCGCGTCGAGGAACGTTTCACTACCGCCGAGGGCCAGGCATCCCTGCTCCAAAGCTATTCCGACCTTGATACCCCCTACCCTACCGTTGACAACATCTTGGCTGCCTATCCCGCAGCTGCCAATCAGCTGATCAACGCACAGGATGTGCAGCACTTCCTGCTGCTCTGCCAGAAGCGCGGCCAGAAGCCTGTGCCTTTCGTTCCCGTCTTGGATGAGAACTTTGAGTTCTTCTTTAAGAAGGATTCTCTGTGGCAGAGTGAGGATCTCGAGGCTGTTGTCGATCAAGATGTCGGCCGAACCTGTATTCTCCAGGGTCCTATGGCTGCCCGCTTCTCCAACATCATCGATGAGCCCGTCAAGGACATTCTTGATGGTGTCCACCAGGGACACATTGCTGGCCTGCTGCGTGATGTTTATGGTGGCGATAAGACCAAGATTCCCGTGATTGAGTACTTCGGTGGGCAGCTTCTGAACACCACCGAATCGGAGTTTGATGGTTTGGTTATTTCGGAAGAGCCCAGCAAGACCAGCTTCCGCTTGTCTTCCACTGCAGCCTTGCCAGACTTGGACCGCTGGCTCAGTCTCCTTGCCGGCAACGCTTACTCCTGGAGACATGCTCTGTTCTTGGCCGATGTTTTCGTTCAGGGCCACCGCTTCCAGTCCAACCCCATGAAGCGGATTGTCGCCCCCACCGCAGGCATGTACGTGGAAGTGACCAACCCCAACGATCCTGCGAAAACTGTTATCAGCGTTCGTGAGCCTTACCAGTCTGGCAAGTTGGTCAAGACAGTCGAGGCCAAGATCAACGAGAAGGGCCAGGTTAGTCTGACCCTGTTTGAGGGCCGCACCGCCGAGAATGGCGTTGTCCCTCTGAACTTCTTGTTCACTTATCACCCTGAGACCGGATATGCTCCTATTCGTGAGGTTATGGGTGACCGCAACGATCGCATTAAGGAGTTCTACTACCGCATCTGGTTCGGCAACAAGGACGTGCCCTTCGACACCCCCACTACTGCCACCTTCCACGGTGGCCAGAAGACCATTACTGCTCAGGATGTTGCCGACTTTGTTCACGCAGTTGGCAACACCGGTGAGGCTTTCGTTGACCGTCCTGGCAAGGAGGTCTTTGCCCCTATGGACTTTGCCATTGTGGCAGGTTGGCAGGCAATTACCAAGCCTATCTTCCCTCGCACCATTGATGGAGATTTGCTGAAGCTTGTCCACTTGTCCAACGGATTTAAGATGGTACCCGGCGCCCAGCCGCTAAAGGTCGGCGATGTTCTGGACACAACCGCTCAGATCAACTCTGTCATCAACCAGGAATCCGGTAAGATGGTTGAGGTCTGCGGCACCATTAAGCGAGACAACAAGGCTATCATGCATGTTACCAGTCAGTTCCTGTACCGTGGTGCTTACACAGACTATGAGAACACCTTCCAGCGCAAGGATGAGGTCCCCATCCAGGTTCACCTCGCAACCAGCCGGGACGTCGCCATCCTCCGCTCGAAGGAATGGTTCCGCATGGATGACTCTGATGCTGAGCTTCTGGGTCAGACCCTGACGTTCCGCTTGCAGAGCTTGATCCGTTTCAAGAACGCCACTGTCTTCAGCAACGTCCAGACCGTTGGACAGGTTCTTCTCGAACTTCCCACCAAGGAGATCATCCAGGTTGCATCTGTCGAATACGAGGCAGGTAACTCACACGGTAACCCCGTGATTGACTACCTGCAGCGTAACGGAACTTCCATTGAACAGCCAGTCTACTTTGAGAACCCTATCCCGCTCAGTGGTAAGACCGCTCTGGAGCTGCGTGCCCCCGCCTCCAACGAGACCTATGCCCGTGTGTCTGGTGACTACAACCCCATTCACGTGTCGCGCGTCTTCTCTAGCTACGCCAACTTGCCCGGAACCATCACCCATGGCATGTACAGCAGTGCCGCTGTCCGCAGCCTTGTCGAGACCTGGGCCGCCGAGAACAATATTGGCCGTGTCCGTGGCTTCCAAGTCTCGCTGGTTGGCATGGTTCTACCCAACGATATGATCACCGTCAAGCTGCAGCATGTCGGCATGATTGCTGGTCGCAAGATCATCAAGGTTGAGGCCAGCAACAAGGAGACAGAAGAGAAGGTTTTGCAGGGTGAGGCCGAGGTCGAGCAGCCAGTCACTTCCTACGTCTTCACTGGCCAGGGCTCTCAGGAACAGGGCATGGGTATGGAGCTGTATGGTTCTAGCCCAGTCGCCCAGGAGGTCTGGGATCGCGCCGATCGCCACTTCATGGAGAACTACGGTCTTTCCATTATTGACATCGTCAAGAACAACCCTAAGGAGCTGACCGTCTACTTCGGTGGTCCTCGTGGTAAGGCCATCCGGGAGAACTACATGGCCATGACGTTCGAGTCGGTGAACGCAGACGGATCCATCAAGTCTGAGAAGATCTTCAAGGAGGTCGATGAGAACACGGCCTCGTACACCTACCGGTCTCCCACCGGTCTTCTCTCCGCCACCCAGTTCACTCAGCCAGCCTTGACCCTGATGGAGAAGGCCAGCTTCGAGGATATGCGCGCCAAGGGCTTGGTTCAGCGGGACAGCAGCTTCGCTGGTCACTCACTTGGTGAATACTCCGCTTTGGCCGCTCTGGCCGATGTCATGCCCATTGAGAGCTTGGTGTCTGTTGTGTTCTACCGCGGTCTGACCATGCAAGTCGCCGTCGAGCGTGATGCACAGGGTCGCTCCAACTACTCCATGTGCGCTGTCAATCCCAGCCGTATCTCCAAGACCTTCAACGAGCAGGCTCTGCAGTACGTTGTGGAAAACATTTCCGAGACCACTGGTTGGCTGCTCGAGATTGTCAACTACAACGTTGCCAACATGCAATACGTTGCAGCTGGTGACCTCCGTGCTCTTGACACCCTCACCAACCTGCTGAACTTCTTGAAGGCGCAGAACATTGACATTCCCGCTCTTATGGAGAGCATGTCTTTGGAGGACGTGAAGGAGCACCTGGTCAGCATCATCCAGGGATGTGTCAAGCAAACCGAGGCCAAGCCGCGTCCTATCGCTCTAGAGCGTGGTTTCGCCACCATCCCTCTCAAGGGTATTGATGTGCCCTTCCACAGTACCTTCTTGCGCTCTGGTGTCAAGCCCTTCCGTTCTTTCTTGCTGAAGAAGATCAACAAGACCACCATCGACCCCAGCAAGCTGATCGGCAAGTACATTCCCAATGTCACTGCCCGTCCCTTCGAGATCACCAAGGAGTACTTCGAGGACGTCTACAGACTCACCAACTCCCCCCGCATTGCCTCTATCTTGGCAAACTGGGAGAAGTACGAAGAGGGCAACGAAAATGCTGCGAAATAATTGATCTATTTCTGTTGATATCCTCTTTATAATGTTGTGCTTTTCATAGACCATTTTTCGTTTCATGGGTCATTATGTGATATGTCTCAAAGCCTTGGAGTTTTTATGTGCATGTATATGAGTTTCAGTTCTTAATATTAGTTTTTATGTTCCACTTCTATGCCCTGTAAAGAGATAGTACGGCACGTCCAGCATGACGCAGAGTAGGTTGTTCTTATGTCAAGTAGTTGGAGGACGCCCCGAGACGACGGCGTATTGGGATGCTACAAAGTAACATGAACAGACCTCCTTGATGAAGTAAGCCTTCAACAATCTGATTTATCTAGCTTGCAAGGTCAAAGATAACACTTCGATGTCTTATTTGATCTTGTTTCAGATATATTTTCTGTCGTGTTATATAGTTGAGAAATAATTATTAGCTATAGAAGCAAAGCTAGAATGGGAATAATAGCACGGAGTAAACAAGCCGGGCTGATCACATTACTATGTACAATATACGAAGACACTGGCAAGCATAAAACGAAAACATGAAGCGTACAAAGGACTTTTTCTCTATGTATAAGCAGAAATATGTAAACATCATCGTCGTCCCGCACGGTTGAGAGGACCCCAGTTAGCCCGAGGATTGAGCTGGTACCGCACCAGTCGTTTCTTGGTATGCGCAGCAGACACCTGACGGCCTAGCTCCTCATCAAACACCACCTCAAGGGTACTTGGGTGTGGCCGCTTGGAGGGATGTGCAGGTGCCTTTTCCGATACAGGCTGGGAATCGGCAGCGGCATCAGCATTGGGCTGAGCCTCTACAGAAGCAGGAGCATTTTGCGAAGTGTTTCGCGGGCCGGACCGGTAGAGAGCAGCCTCAACCTTGGTGACCAAGTCACTGACATCTTTGCCAGTCTCAACGGCAGACATCAGATCCTTTTTAAGAAGAGATAACCATTGATCTTCATCGTCCAATTTACGGAGGTTTTCACGGCTCTTGGCCATAATCGCAGCACCGGCTGTTCTGGCCTTCAAGGAAGTTTCCTTGATAGGTGATACCTGACGGGCCCACTCGCGCATCACCTCCCAAATCACCTCCCAGGGTGCATCGGTGCGGATTGAGTTTGGTTTGGTGTGGCTACGAGTGGAGCGATATCCGAGGTGGCTGAGAGCACCGCGGAACTCGTCGATTGGAGGGGTAGTTGTGTGGATAACCTTTGCGAGAGCACTGATTGAGAAGTAAAAGGGGTATTTTTCCTGAGCGGCAACGTCCATTCGAGGAATGATGGCAGGGTATGCAGGATCGTACTGGGTTTTTGTGCTCTGTGTAGGTTGCTTGAGGGTGGATGGTTCAGAGTTAGATGGTGATAGGTCCAGGTCCTCTTCAAGAGCAGTGGTCAACATTCCCTCGATCCGAGCACAGGTCTGATAGGTCTCGGGATCAGCCCCAGGAAGCATATCTAAGATTTTCTGGATAAATTGAGGATTGTGTAGCGGACCACCCCACATTGGTCCTGCAATATGTGTTTTTGTGCCGCAATGCTCGCAGTGCGGTCCAGCTGTGGGTCCTTTAGCCAGGCCATGGTGGTATACGGGGTTTCCCTTGCGGTCCAATTTGGATCTGGTAGAACCAAGTGGTTGCGTTGTCCATGCGCCACAGCCGGAATCGCAATTGTAGACGAGCATCGTGTTGCCTGCGGTGAATTTGACCTGTGCGGGAGATCGATAGATCCGAATAAAGACGCGAGCATAAAAGTCGATAGACAGAGACAATAATGGCTCGATGGCCATTCCATACTTAGCTGCGGACATAGCAAGGGAGTTTAAGATCAATCGCAGTCCACCTTCGTGGGAGTGCAGGCCTTTCATGGGGATACCGCCGTAGAGAGAAAATGATTTTTCCGAATAGCCGGTCGAGGCCCAGACACCGGCATCGGTGCAAGTAACGCACAAAAGGCCACCGTCTTTGGCTGCTTGCACGGCGGCATCCATGAATGGGGCTGCTGTGCCATATGGATCCAAATCAATGACGTCGAACTTGCTCGCGTTGTCAAGCCCATACATGTATACACGGGCATCGGCCAGATTGGGTTGAATTGTGTTAAGCTCATTGTATTCGATGTTTTTCTTCATTGACTTAATTGCCGATGCTGACAGGTCATTAGCCACGACCTTTGTGACAAATGGAAGCTCCGAGGCGTAGCGAAGAGCGCGCAGTCCAGTTGCAGAGAGAGCATCAAGAACAGTGAAAGAAGCCGCCGGTTGCTCTGATCCGGCTTCTAATTTAGGCTCTTGGTCGGCCGAAGGGGCAGAGACTGGCTGGTTGGTTGCCTCTGCGTTGTCCTTGTGTTCTGCATTTGGGGCGGGCCTCGGGTTCTCGGTCTGGTCGTCTTCGCGCTTCCGTTTCTTTTCCCCATTGCCTGCCTGCTTCTTCAGCTTCTCAGCCGCTTTTTGTTTCTTCAGGTCGATGATATGTTCTCCATGGGCACGAATTGCCAGCACACTAAGGTCGCGGTTAAATTGTTGAATTGGGTTGTAGAAGACGGATTGCATTTGGTCGTCGCTTTTGAGATCCTTCTTCGTTCCCTTAGAAGCGGCTTGTTGGGCAGGCGGGTTGAGAATCTTCGCCAAACCCTCCTTGATAACATGGTAATCTTTTCCCTGGTATTCCACCAGCTGGATCTGGGGCTCCTCCATGGCTCTATAAGTGGAAAGGATTCGGACAGAAGATTGGTTCGAAAGGGTCGAGCGGGGGAATTGGCTGAGAATAAATGTAGGAAGGAGTCTCCGTTTAGCGCATTTCGTTGCTGATCCAAAAACCAAGGAGGGGTTCATGAGCGAAGCCTTTTACAGCATATCGCAGATGTTGGATGCGATGGAGAAAAAGATTCTACGCACGGACCAGGTTTTAGTACAGAACAATACCTGCTTTGTAATTTATATCTATAAAATTCAATGTTGTATAATCGAAGAGTCTATCTAGGAGGAAGCTCTAAGTAATTGTGTCTATACATAGTATATTTTCAAAATACATACATGAATATATACATATACATTATATGCTGTGGTGGTACCGGACGAGTCTTAATGTTTGCATCATAGAACAATTTTAATGTCGTCAGGCTCGTTTTTATACATTAGGATTAAGTCTAGATAATATGTACGACCATGCAAAGCTATCACAGCCACTCCCCAATGATCGGGACATGGCTATACATCTCATTCCATCCCTTGGCCTCCCAACCCGCACCTTCACCGGCACGTCCCACAACACCGAGAGCACCAGCAAGCCATAAAGCTGCACCAGCGGCGGCAATTCCATTGACAACCCACCACATCTTGCGCTGCTTCTTGGACTTTGTTTCCGTAAATCCAAGGTAACCGTCCAACAAGCCCTTTTGGCTACGCTCCTTGCGTGCACTGGTCACTCTCCAGCCCATCCAAGTCGCCCAGCCACCAACGAAGTGCCACACACTCGCAGTCACAAAGAAGAAATAGAAGACATTCCAGAACACAGGACTCCGAGCAAAGCCGTGGGCAATATATCCAAGTCCTACGCCAGAGCTTCCTCCTTCCACGATCAATGGCGTAGCACGGTTGACCCATACGTGGAATGCAATCAGCGGCGCAACAAAGTACCCAGTGCGTGCCTGCAAAGACATCCGCGGCCAGAAATATAACGCGTTTCGCTGTTCGCGGGTCTCGACGCCGTACAGACGGGCTCTACGCGCAGTACGGATGTTGCGGAGAGCAATTCCAGAGGCAATATGCGCAATTATAGGAATTGTCAGGACGAGATGTTCTAGCCCCGGGGCCTGGTATACGGGGCGTGTGAGCAAGAGGTAGGATTCGCTCGCGGGCACAGAGCGAGTCACGAGCGGGATAAGAGAGGTGTTGGCGAGATGTAAGATGAAGAAAGCGGTAGGCGGGTAGGTTGAGTATTTTTGAATACCAGTCACTAAATAGTCATTGTGATTAGAGTATATAAACCAGGTTTTTGTCACTTGACGTACGCCATGAATCCCAGCGATGCCCACTAAGCCCTAGTTTTGGGATTGAAATTCCAGCACCATGCTGCATAGGAGAGGCAGCCCTAGGAAAATATTCGTCGCATTCCACATCTGGGCCATCATGAACAGGCGATGGCTCTAATTCTTGCAAGGAGATGATAGATCTGGTGTCGATGTCCTCCGGTTTGGAGAGCACGTGAGACGACATTGTATGATTTTTGGGATTTTGTGATTTCCGGGACTGAGGAAGAAGCGCAAAAATGAAACTCGTAAGAAAGTGACTCGTCAATCATATATCCATACTTGTATAGGAGAACTGGGAAAAAGCAGGGAAATGTTGGGGTTGAGCGCGAAAATACAGCAGCTCTGATAGGCTGCTTCCTCCACGGATAATGACGATTTCCCGCTTGCAGGGCAGGGTCAGGTGACTCCGTATACATTGTATGTTATAGTTGACTTGCTTGGTTTGCTATAGAGAGTTGAATACTGTACATAAAGTGTAAATCTTTCTTGATTTGCATAAAGCTTAAAATATTAGCTAGCCAATGATTATTGAAGAGTGCATAAACATCAAAGCTACATAGTCAACTGGAGGTGCTGCTTGAACCCATTTGTGCCTGGTTTCACAGGCAGCGGCGCATCAGACCCACCATTTCTTAATACTCAGATGGACGCAATCCTCTACTGTAAACTCTCTCTCTCCCCCAACTTCACGTGGTATTCTTATCCAACAACAATGGCACCGGTATGCTCTTCTTTTCTTAATATAAGTTTGACACATTAGCTAACAAATATAGCGTGGTTTTACAAACCCCGCTCCTAGGGTAATTGATTCTCCACGTCTGCCACTTCTGTCGCGCCAAGCTAACCTTCCCTTGTAGACTGAATCAGCGCGGTCCGCGCTCAGCTCCTTCACCTGCACCCTCTGCAACAAATCTTACTCACGTCATCCGGAATACGAAGCGCATATCGGCTCATACGATCATCAGCACAGAAAGCGTTTGCAAGATCTCAAACAGCTTACACGTGATCCAAATGCCGCCGAGAAGAACCGCCGCGCAGAACGCAAAGCCGATGCCGAGGCCGGTCTGAAAGTCATTGAGACTCCCGGAGACAAGGTGGGATCAAGTGGAGGAACATCAGGTTTTAAGAAGGGAGGGTTCAAAAGCTCATTCACCGCTGTCAAGGGAACCGCGGCTGCTACAGCCCCAGTCAAGAAGAACGTTCTAGGAGACGAGGAAGATGATAGCTTGAAACCTCACAATGATGATCCATCGATTGGGGCCAAGTCCCAAAAGAGTGAGCTCGGCGATGTGGAAAGTGACACCGATGAGGAATATGGCCCAGATGGATATTATGATCCTCGCCGGCCAACCGACTGTTTCGATGGGTGTGGTGGTGCGCACAATGTCTGATGGATATTATGATCCTCGCCGGCCAACGGACTATTTCGATGGGTGTGGTGCCCAAAAGGTCCGATGGATACAATACCGTGATGCCTGAAATGACTTGCGAATCGATTTAAACATCAAGTTTCAAAGATGTACACAATGGCGTTGAATGCTATGGAATATCGTTTTTTTCGGAAAAAATTACTGGACAGCAATGAATTTCCATCTAATCCGTTTAAGCACATTTACGCTGGTACTGATCTGGATGTAATGGTACATGATTTCCAAGAGACTGTCTAAAACGGTTGGATAACAAAAGCGGAATAAAACAACGACATAAGATGGAACAGATGAAAGGGTACTAGGCACATTGCTATATTATTGCGAGCTCCTCACTCGCCCTCGTTTATTGGCTTACAAGCGCAGAAGCTTGGCGGCCTGGCTGACAATGGTGTCCTCCTGGGGGAAGGCCATGGCCTCAAGGCCAGCAGCGTAAGGAGTAGGAACCTCAGCACCGGTGACACGGACGGCAGGGGCGGTCAGGTAATCGAAGCCGTACTCCATGGACAGAGCCAGGATCTCGGACGAAAGACCGAACATGGGGTAGCCAGACTCAACGACCATAATGCGGCCGGTCTTCTTGAGGGAGGCAATGATGGTCTCAACATCGAGAGGCTTAATAGAGCGCAGGTTGATGACCTCAGCATCGACACCGTACTTCTGCTTGAGCTCGGCGGCGGCGGTCATGGACTGACCGACGCAGCGAGACACAGAGACAATAGTAAGGTCCTTTCCGGGGCGCTCGATCTTGGCCTTACCGATAGGCAGGACGAAATCGTTCTTCTGGGCAGCCTCGCTCATAGGGAAGGTCTGGCCATACATGAGCCTAGCATTGGTTAGTCCACGCGGAATCTAGGCGAACGAGTGGACGGGAGCTTACTCGTTCTCGAGAACAACAACGGGGTTGGGATCACGGATAGCAGCCTTAAGGAGACCCTTGGCATCCTCGGAGCTCCAGGGGGAGACAACCTTCAGACCGGGAATGCTGCCGTACCAGGCGGAGTAATCCTGGGAGTGCTGGGCGGCGACACCGGAAGCGAAACCGTTGGGACCGCGGAAAGTGATGTTGCAAGGCTGGATACCACCGGACATGTAGTGAGTCTTAGCGGCGGAGTTGATAATCTGATCGATAGCCTGCATGGCGAAGTTGAAGGTCATGAACTCGCACTAGATCATGAACCCATTAGCATGCAATCCCGGATCAACCGACACTTCCGGAAATACTCACAACAGGGTGCAGACCAGCGAGAGCAGCACCAACGGCGATACCAGTGAAGCCGGCCTCTGTGATGGGAGTATCGATAACCCGCTTGGGGCCGAAGCGGTCGAGCAGACCCCTCGTCACCTTGTATCTGCAGAGCCGGAAGTTCAGCTTCGGTTCCGATTCAATTGAAACTCAAGGACTACTTACGCTCCGTTGTACTGTGCAACTTCCTCACCCAGAATGAAGGTCTTCTGGTTGAGTTCCAACTCTTCGGCCAAAGCCTCGTTCAAGGCATCGCGAACGGTGACCTGCTTGGTGCCATCCTCGGTGGCATATCCGCGGCGCAGAATTGAAGGAGCACAGGCAGACTGGCGGAAGTTTGAGCGCAGAGCAGTGGAAGCAAGGCGCGAGGAGAACAGACGGGCTGTTGGGCGGAAAAGTCGGGGAGCTGCCATTGCGGAAATATGATGGAATTGAGAAGATGAAAAACGAGGAAAGAAAAAAGATTCAATTAACGATCGCAGACCAAATCGGACCGCAAAACGAATTGAATAGAAGAACGGGAAAGTAGATAAAAGTGAATAGCTAGGGAAAACTTATCGCCGTCCGAATAATCTTTGAGATGCAAATCCGAAGATGTTGGGCAACACGTGATATCAGAGCTCACCGGTACTGTAACCGTAAGAATACAGAATTGGAGAGAGCTATCACTTCGAGTGATCAACTTTGTTTATTTGTTCAACATATCTTCAGACAGATCATTTTTTTCTTTTTCTAGCTATAACTACAAGTCTCCTTTCAATTTTTTTCAATACCTTTCAAGAACTTTCTCACAATAAATCCATGCTTCTATACACTCTTCCAAGGGTGTATTATCGATACTGATGCTATCCTTGCTATGGCTCCTTCCGTCGGCACTCGCCGCTCAACCCTCCGCACCCGATCCTATCCCCGCTCCGCTACGATCCCTTGAATTCGGGCAACTGAATTTCCTCCATACTACCGATACTCATGGCTGGCTAGCTGGTCATCTGCAGGAGTAGGCTTTAAACCCTGCTCGGCTTTCGAGTTGTACTAATAATTGCAGACCATCTTACTCCGCAGACTGGGGAGACTATGTATCGTTTGCGACACGCATGCGGGAGAAGGCGGAAGCGCAAGGACAAGATCTACTCGTTATAGATACTGGTGACCGAGTCGAAGGGAACGGCCTATATGACTCGTCCGAACCCAAGGGTATCTACCTATCGGACATCTTCCGGCACCAGGACATCGACCTGTTGACATCGGGAAACCACGAACTATACAAGCAAAACACATCCGAGGCCGAGCTTCTCGTCACCGTTCCTAATTTTCGGGGTAACTATCTGGCTTCGAATATTGATATAATTCACCCGACCACGAAAGAGCTCGTGCCTTTGGCTCCGCGGTTCAAGAAGTTCACTACCAAGAAACAAGGCATCCGTATAGTAGCCTTTGGCTTCCTCTTTGATTTCAACGGAAATTACAATAACACTGTGGTTCAGAGAGTATCTTCTACTATCAAAGAGGATTGGTTTCAAGAAGCCATTCGGGATAAAGAAGTGGATCTGTTCTTGGTGATCGGCCATGTGCCTGTTCATTCGCCGGAATACCGGGCGATCTTCAAGGAGATCCGGGGTATTCGTTGGGATACTCCAATCCAATTCTTTGGCGGGCACCTGCATGTGCGCGACTATGCGCAATATGATTCCAAGGCCTTCGGGCTAGCGAGCGGCCGATTCATGGAAACTATTGGCTTCATGTCAATCGATGGCCTAGCCAGCAAAGCCAGCCAGCAATCTGCCGTTGGGCCCGTCTTCAAGCGCAGATACATTGACAACAATCTCTTATCTTATTATCACCACACTGGTCTTGATCAAAAAACCTTCCCAACCGAAAAGGGCCTTAATGTCTCCCGATTGATCACCAAAGCACGGACCGAGCTGAATCTGGACCACGTCCATGGATGCGCTCCACGTGATCTATGGATGTCGCGAGCCAAGTATCCGGACCCCAGTAACATTTACACCTGGCTTGAGACTGAGGTTTTGCTCGACGTGAGGGATGAGTCTCGTGGGGACACTCCTAAGCTAGTCATTGTTAATACGGGCGCCATGAGATTTGATATCTTCAAAGGGCCTTTTACCCAGGACACCACTTTTATTATATCACCATTCACCAGCACCTTCCGCTATGTGAAAGATGTCCCATATGACAAGGCACAGCTTATTGTCGAGGTTTTGAACGAGCAGCCGCAAATTTTATCTACGGATGAATCTTCGTTGACAACCTTGGGTCCTGTTGAGCAACTTGCATATCCGGAAGACGTGATTGCCCAAAACTGGCCTTCACCTGGCGAGCAAATTCCCATGTCCGGTCCAGCCCTTATACCCGGTTACACGACAAACGATGATGCGGGCACAGATGGCGATGATACTATTCATTCACCCATCTCCTTTTACCGCGTGCCGAACTGTATTCAAGCCCTCGTATCCCCCAATGCATCGGAGACACCAAAGACGGTAGATATGGTCTATCTTGACTTCATAGAGAGAAAGGTGATATTGGCCGCCAAGTTTGCTGGTCTGGATGTCGACATTGCAAAGGAAAGCGATGTGTACATGCCGGGCATGTCTCTAACAAACCTGATTCTGGACTGGGTGAAGAAGAATTGGAAGTGTTGATAGTTAAATATAGTTTCTAGCAGTTCATTTTGTTACAATTCTTTCCTAGTTCCTGGGTCCATATTGTAAATCGGGGGAAACCCCCCGCTTAGCTTTATAATACATTCACATCGGCTGTTCACTTAATCCCCGCCGTTGAAGGTGAACACACCCTTCCCACTGCGGTAGCCGCCCAAAGTGCCCTGCACGCTCTCTGCCAACTCTGCGCCCTCGGACTCCCAGTTCCACTTGACCTCATCCACTGGGATATCACGGAACTTGCCAGAGCGAGTCAATTGAAGCACATCCCTGATGGTGCTCTCCTTCAGCTCGGGATTTTTGTCACCCCACTTGCTAACCCAGAATCCGTCAAACGCGAGGTTCTTGAAGATCAGCAAGCCCGAGGGCAGTGCAACAGGCTGCTTTGACATGGCTCCGTATGTCACCATGTGCGAGTCAGGAGCCAGAGTCTTTGCTAGAGCGGTAGCATTCTTTCCGCCAACACAGTTCAGCGCGAGGCGAATGGGCTCCCGGCCTTGGCGAGTGAACTCATGGACCATATCCCGGAAGTTGCCAGTAAGCATCTCTTCCTCAGTGATAACAACGGTAGCTCCCAGATCCAAGAGCTCCTTCTTGAGAGCCTCGGTCTCTTCGGGTGTCTTGCGCTGTCGAACGACATTGAGCGTCTTGATTCCCCACTCGCGGCCCAGCTGGATAGCTGCTCGCCCGACACCGCTGTTGGCGCCGTTCTGAATCATCCATTCCTCGCCGGCACGCATCCAATCCCATTCACAGAAATCCCGGAGCATACGGTACGCAGTAACGGGGTTGACGCTGACAGTGCCAACCTGCAGCGGGGTCAGGCCCTCCTTGTTCTCAATCTTGATCAACTGAGATTCGTCCAGCTGCGCGTGGGTGCGCCAGGTACCCAAGCCTGTGCGCTTCATAATGACCCAGTCGCCTTTGCTGAGGTTCTTGACGCCCGCACCAGTTGACAGCACCTCGAATGCGCCCTCATTGCCGCCGACTGCGGCGGGCTCCGCGTTTCCAAGGTTCGTTTGGAAGGGAGGTTTGCT